CCACTTCTTTCATCACTATCTCAGCGTTTTCCCAAATTCCGCGAGATCAAAGTAGGCGTCCACGATGCAAACTACTTGGAGGTTCATGGGACGTAGTAGCTAGGTTCATAACTCACGTAACTTATAGCCCCCAAGCCAGGTACTTATAACTGTAAGTATTTACTAAGCCCCATCAACCTCCAAGCATGAGAGCTACCGCGGCGGACATGAGATCCACGAGGTATCCCTGCTGAACTGCGGTCTACGATGCCGTCAGCACAGCTGCCATGTGGAGCCTTAACTGTGTGGAATATATAGGGTTTTCATGGGGTTCCTACATATAGCTTTACACAGAATACATCATAAGCAAACTTTAATTAATACCCTATTCTCAAGATTCAGGACCGTATACGAACTAGACACTCTGATGGTAAGCCTTGCATAGAAGCCTTCAGAGGAACCCTTACAACGAACCTTACTTATTGGAAGTATTTAGTCCCGTAGACCACCCAAAAGTTTATCACCGGACCCCATTGCCTTAGACTGTAAACCCACGTGCTAATCCGAATGGGAACCTTAATTGAAACCCTTAAAGGAACCCGAAAAGAACCCTGAAACGAATCGTTAAAGGAACCCGTGTGGGCACCACACAACCAACCCCTACAAGGGCGTCCTGAAAGGAACCCTCAACGGGACCCTGAAAAGAACCTGAAACCCTAAACCCTACCCTGCTTTCGGAATCCTAAGATTCCCAGAATCCACCTGTAGAACCCTAAACCCTAAACTAACCCTATAAACCTCAACAGGACCCTGAAAGGAACCCTGAAGAGAGCCCTAAACCCTAAACCTCAAAGGGACCCTGAAAGGGACCCTGAGAGGAGCCCTAAACCTCAAAAGGGACCCGGAAAAGAACCCTGAAAGGAACCCTCCCTTTAGAAGGGAGCCCTAAACCTTAAAGGGACACTGAAAGGAACCCGATCCTAAGATTCCCCGAATCCTATAGAACCCTACAGGGAGCCCTAAACCCTAAACCCTCAACCTCTTTTAAAAGGACCCCGAAAGGAACCATAAGGGGCCTATAGAACCCTACCGTCTTAATCTGCCTCGGCGGCAGAGCTGTGGCCGGATCCTGAGCGTGGCAGCTTGGATCTAAAAGGGCTCTGGTTTGGGGCCTCAAGATCCTTTAGAGTAGAAGCCTGAAAGTTGGAATATCATTATCGTAACCCCTTTAAGGTAAATTGTAGGGGATCCTACCATTAATCCATATTCCAACTTTCTGGAGTTCCTTTTAAAGGGATCTTTAGGGTTCCCTCTGCGGGATCTATTAGGGATCTATAGGGTTCAGGGCTTTAGGATTTCAGGGTTTAGGGGTTTAGGGCTTAGATTTCATGATTTTAGGGTTTAAGGGTTTTAGGGCTTTAGGCTTTAGGTGTTAGGGTTCAGGGTTTCATGGTTTACGGCTTTAGAGTTTTGGGTTTTAGGGTTTAGGATTTCAGGTTTTGGGGTTTTAGGGTTTAGGGTTTTAGGGTTCGAGGTTTATAGGATAGGTTTAGGGTTTAGGGTCTTAGGGTTTAGGGTTTTAGGGTTTTATGGCTTTAGGGTTTTAGGGTTCTAGGGTTTAAGGCTTAGGGCTCAGGGTTAGAGCTTAGGGTTTTAGGGTTTAGGGTGATACGCTCTGGCTGTCGGGGTTAGGCGTTGAGGGCCTTGACAGGTTTATGTTTACGGGTTTATTGCCTTGAAAGGTTGAGCGGAGATGGTCGTTTAACCGGCTTAGGATTGGGGGATTGAAAAACTTCGGGAATTGAGGGTACCTTTCCCGGCCCATCTCACCCACTCGGGCTGTTGGACTCTTCACGAAAAGACAGGACTCACAGGTGGCCCTGAATTCAGGTATAACATGGACTTCCACAGCACAACCCAAACCCTGAAATTGATATGTATAGTAATCATATGCGTATGTATATACACCTACAGATATATGGAACACCATCAGCTTCCTTCTACCTCCTAAACCTCTGAACCTTCGCACATGGCTTGAAGTCTTCGTGCTTTTGGCTTTTCTGCGGAAACCTGAGGCCCGGGCCAATAGGCCGCCATGCGGGTGGCCAACCTGGACATCTTAGGGGTTGGGTTTGGGCTTTAGCATTGCTCGGTTTAAGGCTCCTTTAAGGGGTTCTTCAAGGGCACTAGAGGATTTATATATAGGGCTTAGGCTTTAGTTTTGTAAATATATGTATATATATATATATAGATAGAGCACGTAGCTTTGTGTAAAAGAATTGCATGTTTTGGTCTGACTGTCTGACTCCTGGGATGTTGCCCTTGAAATCGCTGGACATCGACACTCGACACGATGAATTACATGGTCTCAGTCTCACATACAGACAGACACACACACACACACACACACACACACACACACGCGCGCTTCCATACATGCACGCATGCATACATGCATGCACATGGCATACATGCATGCACATGGCATACATGCACACATACACACATCATCCCCGTGACCTCATCGGTGCAGGATCAGCAGATCCTGTCTACGTGGTTGCTACATACCTTCCTACCTAGGCTCGGATTCCAATCCGGAGTATTCTATGCATTGAGGAAAAAAAGGTTACGAAATTGCTTGTATTCATGAACCTAAAATCCAAAATCGGCACAGGGAGATACGTGGCTCGGCTTTGAATCCAACGAGATCTCCGCCATGATGAAACTATGATCGTAATCCGCAAACATGCGGCTCGGATTCAAACCCAAGGAAATCTCTGCTTTGACGAACTGGCAATATCACTTGTTTTATCACTCCGAATTGAAGCTGGGTAGCGGCCAGTGTTGATGAATCAGTCCACTTTGGCCATGCAAGCAGGGTTTAGGGGTGTAGAGTTTAGGGATTCGCAACGTCCCTGCACTTGCAGGATCGAATTGGGATCCGAGAGGGGCAAAGAGTTGTCCGAAAGTTATTGAATACAATCTACGTTGGATTTGTGGTAAGTTTCGCCTAGATAGGCAGGTACGTAGCCAGGTAGATTGGATCTGCTGATCCTTCGCCTGGGGACATGCAAATTATGTGCGCATTCATGCATGCATGCATGCATGCATGTGTCTGTGTATCTATCTATGTATATCTGTATGTGTAACGGTGATACAGTGTATCGATCTCCAGCGATATTCAAGAGAATCTAGGCTCAGCTCCATAAACCCTAGCCCCCTAAAACTCATTAAGCTACCCTAAAGAAACCCTCAGAGGAATCTAGGCACCTGGATCCATAGGCCTGGCCGAAGCAAGTTTGGTTTTTAGCAGGTTCCCAGTGCCGGCAGACCGTAGCTGACACCAAACCGTACCTGCATGGAACCTAACCCTTTAAGGGTTCCTTTAAGGGTGCCATGAAGGTTCCTTTAAGAGGTCTATAGGGTCCATGTACCCAAATACTATATATACTTTGGCTCTAAAGTACATAAACAGGGACTGATAAGGGAGTAGTACGCGATATCGGGGCCTTTTAAGGGTTTCCAGAGTTCAGTCAAACTCACTCTAAGGGTTTCCTACAGAAAAGCCTTCGTATATGGGCCTGAATAACTCGAGGGGGTTGGGTATGACAAATTATAGATACGTATGGGCTCTCAAGGAAGAGTTTTGCATGGTAATAAGGACCTTTCTTATCCTTAATCTCAAACCTCGTCTCAGCCGTGGACGGCAATGGCACGCTTGAGCATCATCGATGTTGGCGTGGCAATAGGCCGGCCTCTTCGGGTGTTCGCATTGAAGTGCTCTGCAAAGTTATGGTTCCCAGAGACTCCAATATCAGGAATATCCTTTAAATCATATTAGGGATCCTGCCACAATTTAAGGTATATTCGCAAAATTCGCTCACTTCTATAAGGGGAATTGGACTCTCTGGGTTCTAGGGTATGACATTGCCCGGGGCCAGGCTTGCAGGCTGTAGGATGGCGTGGGGCGCGTGGTTCCCTGTACATTCCATATGTTTCCAAACACTTTCCTTTTTAGGTGCTAATGACATGCCTACAGCTCTATATGCTCAAATAACGTATGTATATACATATACATATATATATATACACATTATACATTGGCCTTAAAGTAGTCTAAGTCGTCCCTATGTAGGTACATTGGAGCCAAAGTGTATACGTTTGGGTATATGTAGTACATGGGCCCTACACTCTAAGTTGGAATGGTGGCCGTAGGGGTTCATGTACCTGCATAGCTTTTTCTTGGACCCGAAAGTACCTAAAAAGATACCCCTGCATGTCAAAACCAGAACATGAATGGTTACTGGAAAGGCACCGCGGAATTATATAGGTAAGACCTATTTTGTCTCAAAGACTCTAAACTCTACGAACCAGTACCTACATACTTGGGGTTTAGGGTTAGGAGTACGGTTCCGAGTGTGTAAACACGACGATTGGCGCTTTCTACAGCTGAAGCCACACGAAACACCGTGCCTAAGGGTCCATGGGCACAAATATAAATAGTATACACTTTGACCTCAATGTACCTTTGTACTGACAACTTTAGGGCCAAAGTGTATACTTTTTGTTGGGTACATGGACCCTTAGACCATAAACCCTATAGACCCCTCATGGAACCCTTATGAAAGCTTGAAAGGAACCCTTAAACGGACCTTGTTTGGGCACATGGACCCTTGCGGAAACACAGGCCTATCCGGTCGACCTGCCACTCGTCCTGGCCACAAGCTGCGTCAGGGTTTAGGGTTTAGGATTTAGGGTTTAGGGTCTGGGGTTTAGGGATTAGGGTGTAGGGTCTAGGGTTTGGGATTAGGGTTTAGGGTCTGGGGTTTAGGATTTAGGGTTTAGGGGTTTAAGGACTACCCAGAGACTCCAAAAACCCTGTAAAGGGATCTATAAGTGCTCCTTGAAGGTTTCCTATAAGCGATCTATAGGGTGTAAGGTTTACGGGACTACAATGTCCCTTAAATAAGGAATATTCCATAATTCAGATCAGAAATCCTGTTATAACTTAAGGTATATTCCTTTGTTAAGGGATATTGGAGTCTCTGGGTACGTAGTGTGCTGACAACATGCAACCTTAGATGCAGAGACCGAACTTTGTGTGGTGGCGTCCGTACTGCTCCGTCGCAGTGCCTTTGTAATCAGACTGTATACAAATATGCCCCCACACCCTTTTTCTATTTCTGAAGGCCCCTATATACCAAAGCCCCTATATCCCCCAAAGCCCAATAAATCGCTTTAAGGACTCCCTAAACCCTTAGCGCCCATTCTTGCGCTGCGAAGTCTAGTTGGGTCGCCCAGAGAACAGGAATGTTTGAGTTTCCGAAAATTCGGGGTACTTTATTTTGGAGTCCTTATATACTAAGGATCCTACTATTTAGGGTACTATATTGTGCCCCCATTTTCGGAAACTCTCATATCGGTGGCTAGGACTTTTGGTAGGGTTGGCACCCTGCGTCTCGGAAGCATGTAACAATAGGAGCTTTAATAATGTGAGTGAGGTTTTCAAACACGTTACGCGATACTGAAACAGGACTATGAGGGCAGACTACTGCCGATGCTTCAAACCGCTGTGTTACCCGAGTATAGAATTCTACACGCCAGGATGCATAAGGGCCTCTCCACCACTAGACTATGCACGCACCCCCAGCTGTACATAACACCCTTTGTGGTTAAAAGAACCCCGGCAAGTCCTTGTCCGTGCACTTTGCGGGCGTCTTGTGGCCTGCGACCCTGAGAAGCTTCCATTGGTTTCGGCTATGGCAATCTGAAGCTTTCCAGCGCTTTACCTGCAGTCTCCATTGTAGTTCCATACTTGGCTAACCAGTTTATTATATAATTATGGGGTCCTAACATATATATATATATATACTAACTGTATAACTGGTAACCAAACGAATCAAATACGATGGAGACAAAAGGTAGGATTGTTCAAGGCTTTGGGTTCAAGAGCCTCGGGTGTCGGAAACGTGGACAAGCCAAACACGGGGCGAATCACCGCAAGTACAGTCAGTCAAATCTTGTCTTACTCTTGCAGTTCTTAGCTTGACCACCGGTTAAGGATTGATGACCACGATAATTGTAGACATCTTGTGATGCGAAGCTCCGCCAACCCACGTGCTGCGCACAGCAGCGACACCTCAGTAACTTGGTACTGAGAAAATACACCTGGAGTCTGGAGCAACAATGAAGGCAAAGCTTGCTTAAGGCCACTTGCGTTGGATCCCGAAACAATTTCAAGGGCTTCAGTCATGCGGATTTTTACTTGATGCACACAGATAGGGGATGATTTCAGAACTGGTGTCTTCGATGAAGGTTTGCGTCTAAGGTGCATTAGAATCCCAGTCTCTGAAAGCAAAGGCCCGAAACCATAAAACAAAATGCGTCAAAGTGAAAGGCATAGGGCAGAGACCTCTCGGGCATGTTCAGGAAGGTGACCTGACAGCAAGCGCGCTTCTCTACTGGTATCATATATATTGGCTGCCGGACACGTACTTGTGGCTACCGTAGGCCTCCCTTAACATGCAGCTTCACAATCACAACAATCATGAATAACTAGTGAGCTCTTACGGCCGTTTTGAATACTACCTTAAACTACCAAACGCTACTTTTTTTGTAGGTTCTGATTATAATTTATAGGAGCCCTACAAAACAAAAGCTGGTTTTGGTAGGTGAAGGTACGAGTCAACGGATGGCGTGATCGCAGAGGACGACACGACTCCCGCAGACCTAGGACGACACACCAAAGTCCGCCGGACGCCCCTGAAAAGGTGAGGGTTTAGGGGTTTAGGGTTTAGGGCTTAAGGGGCTTGAGGGTTTAGGGTTTAGGGCTTAGGGGTTTAGGGTTTAAGGGGTTTAAGGGTTTAGGGCCTATTGTTTAGGGTTTAGGGTCGAGGGTTTACTGGAGGATCAGATCTTTCCCCTGTAAACATAAAACATCTGAATCATGTCCCTCCTTTTACCCTTGGATGAACCGCACTGTAGACTTCACAATCCACTGCTCCTTCGGGTCGGCGTACAATCTCTCAGCCCGTGAAAGATTCAGTTTCTAGACCAGACCCGCAACCACTTTACCCCAATGCCAAACTAAACAATGGTTTTGGGGGGTCCCTTGGCTCTTTAGCTCCTTATTTAACAAGGAATATCACCATCCCTGGCTCCTTAGTTCCTCCAATATCAATAGTAAGCAAAAGCAAGCCAAACCCTAAACCATGTTGCAAATCCCCTAAACCATCGACCACCAACCCTAAACGCAGACCCGAACCCCCAACTCCCCGACCCCCAAGCCCAAGCCCGTACCCCAACCCCTAAGCCCTGCACCCCTAAACTCAAAACCTCCGCCCCCTTAACCCTCAGTTGCCTAAGGCTTCCTTACAGGAAATCGTAGAAACCAACAAGCAGGCCTCCAAGCTCTTCAAGCTGGAGCGGCTCCTACGAAGATCCCGTCAAGCGAACTTTGGGCGGGCTTCAGGAGCTAAGGCTTAATTAATTAATTACATATATATATATATATATATCTCTCTCTCTCTCTCTCTCTCAAGTTGGGTTGACTCCGTGTTACGTCTGCCAGCGGTCGGCTCCCAACTACTTTCGGTTTGGGGTTCAACTAGGGTTTGCGGTTGCGAGCATAAGGATGCCAAGGAAAGGGGGGTTCTAGAAGGGTAGTTTCAAATGTTCTTTCGAGCTATTAACAGCTGTTACCTTTTGGGGTTTAGGGTGGTTAAAAGATCATCCCTGAGGGTATAAACCCTAAAACCCTAAACCCCCAAACCATAAACCCTAAATCCCTAAACCCCAAAACCCTTAAACCCCTAAACCCTAAACCCCAAGCCCTAAAGCCCCTCGGGTTGCCACTGGTGTGTTTTCGGCCCGGAGTTCATCGGTTTCGGGTTCTAGGGTTTAGGGTTTAGGGTTTAGGGTGTGTCACAGTGCCACGGCGCGCCCCACCCATGGAGTGGTCGTGGGTCGCGCCGTCTTCGTAACGTGGAACCCACCCACAACCACCCGAAGCAGGACTAGAACGGGTTTTGTGTTCTGCTTCTTCTTATTCGAGTGCTGCACTAGCCGAAAAGACGTTGCAATGTTGCGGAACGTCAAAGGGACATCCGAGTGATGTAGTCACAAAATAGCAGCGACGCCCTCGCTCGTCCTCGCCGGCCGCCAGAGTCGTCCGTCAGCCGTCGTCAGAGTCGTCCGTCAGGGCCCAGTGCCAGGCCTCCAGAAGTGGTCTGCAGCCGTCCGCTGTCCGTGCCAGTCCGGCCAAGAGTGCTGATCATCCAGTCGGCCGCCAGGGTTTTTTCGCCCGGCAGTCCGTGCCAGAATTGTCCAGCTTTGCCGCCAGACTCGCACTCCCAGCTCCTTGCCAGAGTCGGCCACTGTCCCCAAGCTCTTTCTAGGACGTCCCGTCACTGGGTCCCTGCAGGGTCACCCCGCTGTCCCCGCCAGGGTCGCTTGGTCAGTCGCCGTCCCCGCCAAGGTCCTTACGCCGTCCTTGCCAGGGTCGTCCGCCGTCCCCGCCACGATCGCCCGCCGTCCCCGCCAGGGTCGTCCGCCGTCCTCCAGAATCGTCTGCCAAGCTGTTTTTGGCCTTTTTAGTTGCTGTCAAAGCCAAGTGCCCGCCAGAGTGTCCGCCGTCCCCGTTAGGGTTGCCCGCCGTCCCCGCCAGGGTCGTCCGTCTGCCAAACTGTTTTTGGCCTTTTCGTGCCTGCCAAAGTCATCGCCAAGTCCCCACCAGAGTTGTCCGCCGTCCCCGCAGGGTCACCCCCCGTCCCGTCCGCCATCCCCTCCAGAGTCCGCCAGAGTCGTCCGCCGTCCCCGCCAGGGTCGTCCGCCGTCCCCCTCCACAGTCAAGCTGTTTTTGGCCTTTTTAGTTGCTGTCACAGCAGAGTCGTCCGCCGTCCCCGCCAGGGTTGCCCGCCGTCCCCGCCAGGGTCGCGCGCCGTCCCCGCCAAAGTCGTCCACCAAGTCCCCGCCAGGGTCGTCAGCCCCGCCAGGGTCGCTCGTCAAGCTCTTTCTACCAGGTCCCGTCCCCGCCAGGGTTCTCGCGCTGGGAGATAAGGCGCCATCCCCTCCAGAGTCGTCTGCCAAGCTGTTTTTGGCTTTTTCAGTCCCTCAGAGTCGCCAAGTCCCCGCCAGAGTCGTCCGTCGTCCCCGCCAGGGTCGCCCGCCGTCCCCCTCCAGAGTCGTCTGCCAAGCTGTTTTTGGCCCTTTTGCTGTCACAGCAGAGTCGTCCGCCGTCCCCGCCAGGGTTGCCCGCCGTCCCCGCCAGGGTCGCGCGCCGTCCCCGCCAAAGTCGTCCGTCCACCAAGTCCCCGCCAGGGTCGTCAGCCGTCCCCGCCAGAGTCGCCCGCCATACCCGCCAGGGTCGCTCGTCAAGCTCTTTCTTGCAGGTCCCGTCCCCGCCAGGGTTCTCGCGCTGAAAGATAAGGGTACCCAATTTTACTATTGTGCCCCATGGCTAGCAGTGCCAAATCAGGTCTGGTAGACTCGATCTGCTTGGCCAAGCAAGCAGATCTCGAAGCGGTAGCGTTCAGTGGTACCGGCCGCCGCCGGGCGCGGGCGGCCAATGGTTTAGGGATTCTAAAGTGCAGGGGGCCCGATTGCCAGGGCCTGTGGGAGCGGATGGCGATGTACTCCTACAGGCCTCGGAACGTTTCGTCTCGGGGTGAGGGCTTTAATGGTTTAAGGTTTAATAGGGAATTAGGGTTCAGAGGTTTTGATCCTATGCTGAGCCCTTTCTCCGAACGCGCCGACCCGCTTTGGGTCCACAGAGGTGAAACGTACTAGGCCCAGAGTTTTAGGGTTTGGGGTTTAGGGGTTTACGGCTATGGCGACTCCAAGAAACCCCATACCTGAGCAATACATAGCTGACATAGCCGAAGTTTTGACGCTTGTTGCCACACGTGACCCTAAACTCTGAACCCTACACCCTACCTACACGAAGGATTTTGGTAAACCCTAACCTACAGCCCTAAATGGCCCTAAGCCCTAGACCCTCTAATACACCCGAAACCCTATCCTCACGCCGTAAGCTCTAAAGCCCTCCAGCACTACCCAAGTACCCGTTAATAGAGCCCCTATGGTTCTTCATAGTCGGTATTTAAGGTATAATAGCGGGTAGTTGGGTGCTGGCTAATATAGGGGCCTTAATAAGGTTTATGGGGCCCATTATATGACAACTATAATAAGGAGACCCAAAAAAAAGTATCGGGAATTATTCAGGCCCAGTTCTTAACCCTAAACCCTAACCGGTAACCGAGTGAGTCCCAACAGCCACAGGAAGCCGACCCCAAGAGCTCTAGGCCCTGAGGGTCCCTGTAGAGACGAGATTTCTCTGAGGGTCGTATAGAGGTACTATAGAGCTCCATAATCGTACCATAAATTGTGTAGGGTTTAAGGGTATACCGGTCCGTATTGCTTTTGAAGCATATACGTTGGCCTTAAAGGGTGTCTCGACTTTGTTACTCGCATCATGGAAGGAACATGAATCCTCGTCCTTAAAGGATCCCTTGTATCAACCTTAGGAATAGGGTTCCCTGGTTTCCTGTTCAGGGTTTAGGGCTTTGTAAGAATTCGGTGCAGGGTTCCACGTTTGCCGTTTCCAGACGTTGAGCACTGATCAGAGCAACCCTAAACGACGCCATGTAAATTAGAATGCTGTGTATACTGTATACTATAGTAGAACTATGGAGCTGGTATTACCAAGAGCTCACGTCAGGCTGCTATACCAGCCTTTTTTCATAGTGACATAAGGAATAATCAGGTTGCAGCATCGCAGTTGATAGAGCTTGATGGGCTTAGAACTTAGATTTAAGCAGTTGATGGTTTGGCAGTTCGGATCTTGGTAATTCATGACTTGGGGTTGTGTGGTTTACCGTTGTCAATGGAAGAAAGGATACAGAACTAGTGCTGGCAACAAATCCGCCGTGCTGCAGCATACCGCCGCCACCTAAACCCTAAATCCTAAATCCTAAACCCAGCCCTAAACCCTAGGAGAACTCCAAGGAAGCCGCACATACATCATGTGAGTCGATCCAGTACAGCAGAACAGTCACCACCACAGCGAGTATCACCCCAAGCCACGACAGAACCTCGGTTCTTCTTCAGGGATTTCGGGATTTAAGGCGTCAGGGTTCTTTTAAAGGGATCTACAACTGGGTTCTTGTTAAGGGATTTAATTTAAGTCACCATAATAAGGAAACCATATTAGGTATTTACTATAGATACCGATTATGGTAACTTAGACTGACTGATTAACTTCCTTAACAAGAACCCAGGAACCGTCCGCGGCAATAGCAGCAAAAGCGCCGTTGGTGGCTTGGATCTGTTGCACAGTCTTCAGCTGATCTTGCACAGCACTACTGTCACCACCGTGGCAAGCATCGCCCCAGGTCACGACAGACCCATCGCCAAGAATAGCAGCAAAAGCTTTCTCAGAGGCTTGGATCTGCTGCACATTCTTCAGCTGATCCTGGACAGCTCTGCTGTCACCACCACTGTCATAAGCACCCCAGGTCACGACGGATCCGTCAGCAACAAGGGCAGCAAAAGCATAGTCAGAGGCTCGAATCTTTTGCACATTCTTCAGCTGGTCCTGCACTTCACTACTCTCACCCCCGCACACGTCCATACCCCAAGTCACGACAGAGCCATCACCAAGAACAGCAGCAAAAGCATAATTAGTGGCTTGGATCTGCTGCACATTCTTCAGCTGATCCTGCACAGCAGTGCTGTCACCACCAATATCATAATAACCCCAAGTCACGACCGATCCGTCGACACGAATTGCGGAAAAAGCGTAGTTGTCTTTGGCTTGGATCTGCTGCACAGTCTTCAGCTGATCCTGGACAGCTCCGCTGTCACCACCACTGTTATAAGCACCCCAGGTCACGACGGATCCGTCAGCAAGCAGGGCAGCAAAAGCGTCGTAAGTCGCTTGGATCTGTTGCACATTTTTCAGGAGATCCTGCACAGCAATACTGTCACCTCCGGACGAAGCTTGGCCCCAGGTAACGACGGAGCCATCGCCTCGAATGGCAGCGAAAGCACAGCCATTTGCTTGGAGCTGCTGGATATTCTTCAGCTCACCATGCACGGCACTACTGTCGCCACCAGAGCCAGCATCACCCCAAGTCGCGACAGACCCATCACCAAGAATGGCAGCAAAAGCACGGTAATTTGCTTGGATATGCTGCACATCCTTAAGCAGATCCTGCACAGCACTACTGTCGCCCCCATACTTGGCATGGCCCCAGGTCACGACAGATCCTTCACCAAGGATGGCAGCAAACGCTTCTCCCGTGGCCTGGATCCCTTGCACATTCTTCAGCTGATGTTGCACAGCACTGCTGTTGCCACCATGTTCAGCATGACCCCAGGTAACGACGGACCCATCGCCAAGAAGGGCAGCAAACGCGTCGGGATTGGATTGAACCTGAACTCTGCATATGTGCAGGGTCAGACAGTCGCCAGTCTCGATCTTTGCAGATTTGACCGTTGCACATGCATCCAAACACCTCCCAGATGAGTCCAGCAGCCGCCCCTTCCCGACTTCAAGTAAAACCTGCGCCCTCAGCTTCAACACTTCCACAGTTTCATCCGGGTTTGCTAGTATATTCGCTGTCTTGCCACTCAGCAATGACACTTGAAGAGTGAGCGACATAGCACCTCAGCTTTTGGAACTACTCAGGCCTACATTACAGAGCGCTGACCGGGCAAACATCCAGGTGCAAAGGCAGCTCAGCTCGGAACCGCTACAGACAAGCAAAGGCCGGCCAACTGCCTAGAGACAAAATCCCTTCCTTGCGAGTAATTACCTCCAATCATAGATGGCTTCATGTATTACATCTAGTGTTTACTTGTTTTATGGTTAATCGAAGTAAGATACCATTGGTATGTTCAAAACACTTTTGTACCGAATGTAACGCTTCTAGCGTTGCTTAAATAATATTCATAGGAACAAAAACAACTAGAACAAATTGAAAAAAACAAACAATACTGGAAGCACTCGTTAAACTTAGCTTACCAAAAGTTATTAACAAGTATACCAATATGTATGCACATATAAGCATATGTATATGCATATGTATATGCATATGTATATGCATATGTATATGTTATACGTATATGTCTGAGTACATGCATGTTTATGTGTGTTTGTAGATGTGCTTGTGATTGTGTGTGTTTACGTGTACGGGTACATGGTTATATAATGTATGTGTGAATATGTGTATATATATATATATATATATATATATATAGTTGTATGGACATATGCAGGTGCGCATACAGACATATATATATATATATACACATATGTATACATATGTATATATATATATGCATGCGTATAACGTGTATGTAAGTATGTGTATATATATATATATACACATACATATACGCACACATATGTATATTTATATATACACACATATGTATGTATGTATATATATATACATATGTGAGTGTGTAGTTATATGCCCACATGTAAAATGATAATATGTATATATACATATGTGTATAAATATATGTATCTATATATATATATATATACATTGGACATATGTCTATACGCATGTATAGGTATATGCACATGTAAACGTATAAATATGTATGACCATGTATGTATACGTACATGTGTATATACATGAGCTACATATGTATATGTACACAATAGTGAGCTAGTTAGCTAGTCAGTCAGTCAGATAGCTAATTACAAAATATTTCATGATGTATTTACTTAATGTAACTGAAAATGTCTCGAACTAATTTGTTATTACATACGTAAAGAAATATTAACAACTTTATGTTAAACGAAAGATTTAGTGTGTATTTGTCGAATCACGGTTGTTGGGTTGTTGGTACCCTCAGAGAGGCTGCCGGGAACACTAGACCACATTTTAAAGCCCTGCGATTTCATGAACAACAAGCCAGAAACTTTTCTCAAACCTTGTATAACCCTCATGAAACCTGTAACCCCCGACCAACCACGAGAAACCCCTTGCACACACCCTACAAACTCCTTATAAAACCCTACGAAGCCCATTGAAACCTCGTCTTTCTATTGAAGCCCTGATGTATCCATTCAAGAGCCCCTGTAAAACTCTTGTAGAACCCCTGAGCCCGAAATCGCGAAACCTAAACCCTAATCCGTGAACCCTGAGACCCTAAACCCGAAACCCTGAGACCCTGTAAACCCAGGAACCATACGGACCCTTAGGGGGGTCCCCCTTACCCCCTCTCTAAGGGTACCTTTAAGGGGTTCCTTTAAGGGATCTATAGGGTTTCCCTTACCCCCCTAAGGGTCCCTATGAAGGAAGGGGATGTCCTCACCAATGGCGGTGGCCGCTGGAAGACATCATAGACACACCTGGGAGGTTGAGAACAGGGAGGCTAACACTCGATGTGCCTATATCGCATATGGGTAGTTGTGAAAATTATGCTCCCTTTTGGGGTACCCTGAATATTGGGTGTTGTATTATATTAAGGACCCAAAAAGGGATCATAATTTTGACAACCACCCATATACTGAGGCCTGAGACATAGCTTGGAGCCATAGGCGAAGGATTTTGTAGACTCTTCTGGGGAAACCCTAAGAGCCCTAAACTAAGAGGCCCATTAAAGGTCCCTCCTTTTCCCCTTTGACAGAAACAAGCGTTGCCGAGGCCAAACACTATCGCAGCGGCCCCCCATCGGCACATGGGTGGTTGTCAATATTCTGGTCCCTTTTTGGGTCTCCTTAGGGTCCATGTACACAACTAGTCTCCCTTGTAGTTCCTTCCTTTTTGTTTAACTGAATATTTATATGGGTTGTTGTCAAAATTCTGGTCCCTTTTTGGGTCCTTAATATAATCCGGCACCTAATATTTAGGGTACCCAAAAAGGGGCCATAATTTTGACAACTACCCACATACGTTTGGACATACTTAGTTGCAAAGAGATAAGATCCTGCCCTGCTCTTCATCACCCTATACCCTGAAGCCTTTAAACCCTCTACCCTAAACTCTAAACCGCATGCCAAATCCGCGGGGGGTCCGGATTGCCCCAGATTTGCAGGTTTTTGGGTTCGACCCATTCTTCCCCTTAATCCTGCAGTCCGTTTAGGGTGAGCTCGATACAGCCTAAGTAATTGACCCTCTGTAGAACTCCTGGAAAGGTTCGGTCTTGGCAATCCCTCGACCTCAACTGAAAGTTCTTGGGTGTGGGCTCTCTGAGAACCTGCAGCAGAGACTGCGAGGTCGAAATAGCTATTCAATAGCTGTTGGAAGAACGACTTCACCTGAAACACACGAAACAAAGCTGCAACTCTAAACCTAAACACCCTAAGAATCCCTCTAGACGGCCGGTCGGCCCTACCCTAAACCCTAAACCGTCACTGGGCGCCATAACTTGTCCTCCCAGTCCGCCGGATGGAGAATAGGCCCTGTGAGATTTGGGGCTGAAGGGGTTTAGGATTGATTTGGGAGTTTCCGAAAATTAGGGGTACCTTATTTGGGGTCCTTTAGAGGGTCACTATAAGGGTACTATAAGGGTTCCCTAAAAGGGCTCCAGGAGGGGTTAGAGTTTCCGAAAATTAGGGGTACCTTGGTTTGGGGGCCTTATAACAAGGATCCCACTATTTAGGGTACTTGAAAGATCGCGGGACTTAGTAACTGGGCTTATAAGTAGGGTAACCATACTTATACTTACTTATAACCCCAATTCACGTACTTATAACCTTACTTACTAAGTCCCATGATCCTCCAAGTACTATAATATTAGGATCCCCCATCTTCGGAACCCCCCCCCAATTTCACGGACCTTGGGGTTTTTAGGCCTACAGAAAGGCTTGGGGTCTTGGTTTAGGCTAGGTTCGGGATTCATTCAAGACCCTAGGGTTTGGGTTTGGGGTTAAGGGTTTAGGGGTTCGGGTTTAGGGTTCCCTAAAGCTGCCCATACTGTTTAACACATGCTACTTCATGTAGGTCATGTAAGAACGGAACAGTAGCACGCATGTTATAGAGCTTTTGCTCGAGAGCGTCGTATACATGCCTTTGCTACACGTGTCTATGTATTGTGCCTGCTTCCATTCCTCATGTTCCAGATTCATCGCGGTAGTCGCTGGTAACATTCTCCGAACTCAGCACAGCCTATGAAACCGAACGACACAACACCAAAACTATATAAAGTAGAACGAGACCCTAAGGCTCCATGTACCCTTTCAGTATATACTGAGGCCTTAATGTACCTATGTAGGGACCCCTTTTAAGTATCTATTATATTATAAAAGTACCATGGATCCCTAAGACCCTAAACCCTATAGAACCCTTAGAGGAAGCCTTAAAGGAACCCTACTACAAAGGTACATGGAGCCTTTGGCTCACATGCGAGCTTAGCGCCATCTGCCGCATCCTCGGCAGGATCAGATCGGAGCCGCTGTACTTTGTGCGCCTTGGCGCTGCAGATGTGCAAAGACTCCAATGTCCCTTAATTAAGGAATATACCTTGAATCATATTAGGGATCCACTATAATTTTAGGGTATATCCCTAAATAAGAAATATTGGAGTCTTTGGATGAAGTGCGCCGGTGGTCCGGCCGCCAAGGCCTGTGCCGCCTCATCCTGGATGGACTCCGAAGTCCACTGCCGGTGAGTAATGTAGGGGCCTAACGAATTAGCAATACTATTTTGGGGGTTCCTTATTGTAAGCATAGTATAATGGGCCCCAAAACCCTATTCCATTCATAAAGGTCCCGATAGTAGTTTGTCTCACTTGCATGCGTCCTCTGTCGCCTGGGAGGGCATTGTGAACATGAATGACATCGGTCCATGTACCCATATAGAGATACATGGGCCCCAAAGTACCTATATGGGGACTACATTAAAGCCAATGTATATACTATATGAGTACATGGACCTTAGGGTGGAACCCAGCGCCTGTCCCCCTCGTCGATGACCTGCCCGAAAAACAAATCGGCCATCCTGTAGCCTCAGGAGTCGTTTCCGAAGGTAAAAGCAGGGACCCTTAATAAGGACCCCTAGGTATATACCCTTAATATAGCTATTATATACCCATTATATAGGTAGGGGTCCCCATTAAGGGTCCCTCCTTTTCCCCTTTGATGGTTAAGACATAGGATGAGAGGTGCCATATCCGTGATCCGGGCTTTTTCCGGTGGCACTCAGCCCGATCTCCTGCGTATGCACTGTTCATGGACGCATTCTATCTCTCAAAGGGGAAAAGGAGGGACCCTTGATGGGGACCCCTACCCTATATATATATATATATATATATATATATAATAGCTATACTAAGGGTATATACACCCCATGAAACGAATCAATGTAAAACTTATAAAACCGCTCTTGTAGTATAAAGGCAATATGCATATAATACTACGTATTACCGTCGATAAACGCTAATTCGACTATTAATACTTACAAACATTACCACAGAGAACAACAAATCCACAATCACCATATGACTAACCCTATGCTTCCAGGGACCTCATTATTGGGTCCCTAAGGGGTTTAGGGTCCTAGCTATGAGGTCCTTGGAAGCATAGGATGAGTATTCCGACCCCCCCCCCCCCCAACCAAAATGAAAAAAAACAACAGCACCTCCTAAACCCCTAAACCCTAAACCCTGAACCAACAAAAACAATAACAAAAAGCACCTCCCAAGGTCGGCGAAGTGACGGCGTCGACCGCGAGCTCCTCCAGCCGTAGCGAGAAGGCTGGGATGTACGGCCGGAAGCCCCGAAACTCAAAGGCTCCATGGTACCTTTATAGTAGGGTTCTGGGTTCCTCTATAAGGGTTCCTTTAAGGGTTCCTTGAAGGGTTCCTTTAAGGGTTCAACAGGGATTAGGGTATTAAGGATCCATGGTACCTTTATAGTAGGTAGTGAGGCCTTAACGGGTCCCTATATAGGTACTTTAAGGCCTAAGTCTATACTATATGGGTGGTTGTCAAAATTAGGGTCCCTTTTTGGGGTACCCTAAATACTAGGTACCGTACTATGCTAGGGACCCAAAAAGGGACCGTAATTTTGACAACCACCCATATGGGTACATGGAGCCTCAGGGAGAGGAAGCCCTGAAAGGAAGCCAGTGGAGGGCTGCTGTAACCCTAAGGGTCCTAGGTACTGTTATGGGGAAAACTTCCCCAAATCATAATAGTAATTCCTAATATAGAAACCCTACATTCTACTATATAGTTACTTTGGACCCTTTGGGTAAGAGTGCTGGAGGCGATGCATAGTGTTTCACTCGGTATTACTGGGTGTAGGGTTTTGGGCTTTAGAAGACTTCCGTCGCAGGGTGATAAAGGCGTCTACATTGGTGCGGTTTGCGCTGTTGCAGGTCATTTTGTTGAACGTCTCTGACGAGTGTAGTCGTGTTAAGCGTTTAGTGAAGTGCTTCCTCATGCGTGTTCTCCCTGGCATCGAACAGGTACCCGGTGAAACAAAAACCCCAAGGGTCCAAGTATCCAATAATCATATACCCTCCAAAATCCTAACCTACATAAACTACTATCCTCAAACCGAATACCTGATTATTGGGTCCTTTGGACCCTTGGGGAAACTCTCTACTCAAAACCCACAATACGTTGAACGCTCAACTCATCGCTCCATGAACCTTCCTAGAGGCTCATACCCTACCCCTTTCTTAGGATACCTAGTTTTATGGTTAAGATCTGTTATCTTAAAAAGTAGGCGCCCTAAAAAAGGGGTAGGGTATGAACCTACAGGTAAACTCTCAAGCCCACGACCAAAGGGCCGCAATTCACTAACCCTAAGGGTCCATGTACTCATATAGTATATACATTGGCTTTAATGTAGTCCCTATATAGGTACTTTGGGGCCCATGTATCTCTATATGGGTACATGGACCCTTAGGTTAATTTTGGGGCCTTGATACTTAGAATAGGGTCTTGGGGCCCATTCTACTATAACTATAGTGAGGAGCCCCGAAAATAGTACTGGTATTTGTTTAGGCCCCTTTTCTAGATGCGGCGAGAGCCTGTCCCCTCAATTCTGAGCCCTAGTTTTGAACCCCAAACCCTCGGCCCTCGACCCTTATAAACCCCGAACCCTAGACCGTGCGTGAACCCTAAACCCCGAACCGAATCCAAACACCAAGCCCCAACTCCAAAACCCTAGATACATGCCAAACCCGAAACCCTATGGTATATGATAGGGTATATGAGATTAAACAACTACGTCGTAAATGCTTGTGTATATGATGTCAAACCCCAAATCAACGCAATGAAAGCCTCTCCTGTGGCTTTCCGGTCGTCACTGCCGCCACTTCACCGGTCTGGCCTCTCACTCGCTGAACGGTACGACGACTACGACGACGACGACTACTACTACTCCTGCTGCTGCTATTACGATTACCACCATCACCACCACCATGACGACAACGACTACTATGTATTACTACTCGCCAACCACCTAAGCGTACGAGCGGCAGAAGTTTCAGAGGCATGTGAACTCGAACTTGCGAAGCCACTCACAAATGCGAGGAAGTCTTTGCAGTCTTTACATAAGCTTTAAAGTGCAGGCTTTACGGTTTATTTCAAGGCTCCGGCAAGGACAAGAGAAGCAGCCGGGAACATCAGGATGAACAGAGGGACCCCGTATTCGGGCAAACATGCCATTCAAAAAGTGCCAGATGCCCTGTAGCAAAGCCATAAACTGCAGGTTTTCAGCGGCATATACAAGGGACCCAAACGTAGCAACCTCCAAGAAAGGAAACTGGGCCTGCAGGGAAGCACAAGTGCGAATAGATAGATGTGCCCTCTAACCGGATCGACAGCAAGCCAACGACAACCACCAGTGGCGAATCACTGCAACGCCTTTGATATGATGGACAACACAACCCACAATCAACACACAAATTCCCAAACCCTAAACCTTATTGTAATCAATTCTACCAACTAGCCCACCTCAGCCGCAAGGATTAACTTGCAGCAAGGTTTCGACAAAGATGGTTTAGTATAGTACATAGAATGCTTAGTGAAGGCTTGGTATATAGTATATAATATAGGATTACGACATCCTGAAACCAAGCCTTCAAGTAAACATGGCTCTGGCCGGCCTGTTCTCCACTTTGCGGTCTGGTATGCTGTGAAAGCGGTGACAATAAAGGCCTCTGCTGCGGCTGTGAACTCTCAAGTTCATGAGGTTTTAGGGTGTGGGGTTTAGGGTTTCAGAGTTTAGGGGTTTAGGGTTTAATTAAGGGTTTACGGTGAATGGAATGCTCGGATCGCACAGCATCATGGGGCGCCATAATCTTTACGACAAGGGTCGTCTTAGAGATTGCGAAGGGGGCTGATGCCCAATGCGCAGGAGCGCACAATTATAGTATCCTCATGGGAGAGGGTTCCAAGGGGGTAGATAACCTACTAATCCCTCGTTCTCTCTAGTGCTAAATAAAAATAAGAATCCCTAAAGGTTCCCTAAGGATCCCTTGTACCCACCCTCCCTTAAGGACCTAATAACACCAGCTCAGAAAAGGTTGTTGGAACGCCAGTGGGCCATCCCATCTTGCAAAATGGGCCATAAGGGAGTGTCCGAACTCGGCCTTATTTTGGGGTCCTTTAAAGGGTCACTATAAGGGTACTGTAAGGGTTCCTTTACAAGGGCTCTACAAGGGGTTAGAGTTTCCGCAAATTTGGGGTACCTTATTTGGGGTTCCTTATATTAAGGACCCTACTATCTAGGGCACTGTATATGAAGGGCCCCTAGTTTCGGAAACTCCCATAACTACAAACACCGGTGAACAAAAACGTCCATCGGAGGCCAAACACGAAGCGTTCCCAAACTCTGAAGTCAGCAGCAGTGATCTGTTATGGAGTTGTGCACGAGCAAAGATACACTAGAAGTGGGAACCGTTCCATAAGACAAACTACTAGAAGTTTCGTGGGGTGTTCTCTGTACGGTCAGTACTTACCGTTCAAAAGCTACCTTGATTGCCCCCCAACTAAGTTCAACTTACTAAGGTAGGTATAACACTACTTAACACTACCCATGCTCCCCGTGAATCCATGACACCCCAGCCCCCTCCCCAACTTCGAAGAAGCTTTTAAACATCCGTCAACCCTCAACCCTAAAAGAAACCACTACGGCCCCCTCCCCACCCTCACAGAAAGCGAAGCGAGTCGGGACGTGACTCTAGGCTTAACCTTAACATAGTGCCCTAAATAGTAGGATCCTTATTATAAGGACCCAAAAGCAAGGTACCCATAATTTTTGGAAACTCCCATATGCTTCACAGACAATCGCAGTCGTAGCTTTCAGGGTTCGTCGTTTGTCGTCTTGGGGATTTAGGGCACGAGCCTGTGGGAGCTCCGACTCTTAGGCCTCTGGGTTTAGGGTCCAGCCCATTCTTTATGCCCCAACGCTAAACGAACCCTAAACCCTAAACCCCAAACCCTAAACCCTGAACCCCAAACCCCTAACCCCTAAACCCCGCCGAGGTTCAGGTACCAGGCATGGCAGGAGGATGCTCCAGAAGCCATGCTGTCGCTTAGGCCCAGGCATGGATGTCAGGAAGGGACCCTAAGGGTCCATGTACCCGGAAAGTATAGGGTTCCTTGTAAGGGTTCCTTTAAGTTCATAAGGGTGTAAGGTTTCTGAGGGTTCCTTGTAAGGGTTCTTTAAGGGTGCGAAGAAAGTATAAGGGCTCTTGTAAGGGTTCCTTTAGAGGTTCTACACGGGCATCACAAGGGTGTAGGGTTTAAGGCTCCATGCACCCCAATAATGCATACATTTGACCTTAAAAGTAGTCCCTATTTGGGTACATTGGGGCCCAAGTCTATACGATTTGGGTACATGGACCCTTAAAGCCGAAACCCTTAGGATACCCTGATAGAGCCCTTAAAGGAACCCTTTAAAAGAACCCTTGTACTACAGTATCTGGCTACATGGACCCTTAGGGGGAGGTTCGAAGGGCAACTCGGTAGTCTGAACCGCTGAAGTCCTACACGCTAAACCTCGAGACTCCTAACCTTCGGAAGGGAGACTGATGTGAAGAACTACAGGTGTAGATTTAGGGTTTAGAGTTTAGAGTTTAGGGTTCAGGGTTTAGAGTTTAGAGTTAAGGGCAGTATCTAAATCTCTTGCGCAGACGGCATAGTGTAACATAGCTGTTGTCTTCTCGCCGACGTCCGAAAGGTTCGGCTCGAAGAACTTTCAGGCAAAGGCCTCCAAAACCCTTTAATTAGGGAATATGCTTTAATTCATATAAGGGATCCTATTATAATTTAACGTATATTCCTTAATTAAGGGTTTTGGAGGCTCTGGGTCTAGAGACGAGAGCACAGGGTTAGAGGCTCCGTTCGTCCAGAACATAGATACTTGGAAGGGCAGGGGACTTAGTAAGTAGGTTACAAGTAGAGTTATAAGTACCCGAAATGGAGTTACCCCAATTATAACCCTACTTATAACCTACTTACTAAGTCCCCAGCCCTTCCAAGTAAGGAATCCTCCTAGTCAAGGTTTTGGTGCAGACATCATATGGGGCTTGGGTGCCTGAATAATTCCCTAAGGCTCCATGTACCCATAGAGTATATACTTAGGCCATTTTGTACCTATGTAGGGACTACTTTAAGGCCAAAGTAAGTACGTACTATAAAGGTACATAGAGCCTTTGGGATTGAAACAGGGTTTTAAGGCACGTTGTAGTATGGTAAACGAAGGAGCCCCTTGGCAATACTGACCGCTAAAATTCTGCACACGACTTGCGGTCTACAATGGTCTACACCACGTGGTCCCAGAAACATCAGCAGCTTTGAGCCCATCATCGGCGCATCGTGGATCTCTTCATAGTTGTGGTTCCGTGCGATACGTCTGAGTAAGAGAAACCCTCCACCCAAAACCCTCCCTCCATGCTTCCAACGGTCGGATCGCTTGAACCCCTGAAGACTCACCACTGAAGTCCTGGAGTCGTAGATCAGCTGCTGACGAGGCCTAGCTAAGGAAGTACAGTCCCCTACCCCCCTAAGGGTCCCTATGACTATAACCCTGGGGATCCAAAGCGAAGCCGACAAAACCTAAGAGCAAGCATCAATTATAATTTATAAGCCATTCCGAATCAACATAGCAGCATTGCGCTATTAGAATAGGGTCTTTGAGTTCAGAGACACAGTACAAATATTTACATACTTATTGTACACACGTATCTATTTATGCATATGCTTATGCCGGGAATTGTAATTTCAATGTCCGTCTACAGACTTATATAGGAACTACAAAGGGAAGCGGCTGCCAACTGTTGAGCCCTGCTTTTGACCGCCTCAAAGAGTACATGAGTAAACCCAGCCATGTCTGAAGTAAGGCAAGGCCCAATGTGATTGGGGCTTAGGGTTTAGGGGTTAGGGTTTTCAAAGGTTTGGGGCTTAGGGTTTGGGGTTTAAGGTTGTGGCAGAGTAATTAGGGCTTGGGTTTAGGGTTTCGATCGGTTTGCTTTGGGCCTTTGGGACTGGTTGAGGCTCATGACCGGGTGCTTGGAAGGGCAGGGGACTTAGTAAGTCTAGGTTATAAACGTAGGGTTATATTTGGCGTAACTCCATTTAGGGGGTACTTATGACGTATAACTCTACTTATAACCTACTTACTAAGTCCCCTGCCCTTCCAAGTGGCTATTATGATTATGGTTCGTCGTGGTGGGGGCGGAGGGGGGGGGGGTTGGGTAGGTTCTGGTCTTCCGGTTTGCTTACTTAAGGGCTTGTGTGTGCTGTTGTATTAGGGGTTGGTGGTTTAATGCGTGGTGTTTAGCATCTAGTGGGGTAAGGTTTTCAAACTCTTTAATGGAAACAACAATCACCATAATCTTGCTACCCAAAGCCACCTGTGACTGCGAGTCTACGTAACGCAGAAGGTGAAAGCTTTAGCTTGGTCTTGAGTTGCGCACTTAGCTGTGATGACCTGAATGTGGCCCCAAAGCATGGACCAGTGCCACAAGTTCTAGTCGCAACGGACTTTGTAACAACAAAGCACCAAAAAATATTTGTTTACCCTAAACCCTCAACCCTAAAACCCTAAATAAACACCAAACCCTAAACCCTAAAACCCTAAACCCGCAAACCCTAAACCCTGAACCCTAAAGCCTAAACCCCAAGCCCTAGCCCGGAAGCTGGAAGACCTAAGCAACAAAGCCCTAAAGGGTTCCTGCTCTACGGTTGATGTTATAAATCCTGCATTACCCAAAATAAGGAATATACCAAAATTCCCATAGTTAAGGGTCCTGAAGGTAATACAGGATTTATATCATAAACCGTAGAACCCTATGGTACACTTCAGGTAACCCTAAAGATCCCTGAAAGGAGCCGTAAAGGGGTCAAGACAGGTCGTCCTCTTGAGTGCCATGCCTGCAGAGTCGTGCCACCTTTGGGGCTGCAGGGGTTTAAGGTTTCAGGATTTGGGGGTTTAGGGTTTAGGGGTTTAGGGTTTAAGGGTTTAGGGGTTTCGGGGTTTATATAGGGGTTGGGTTTAAGATCTGCTTGTGAGCCCAGACCCTACAAAATAGTAGGTTATGAAACCTTTGTTGAAAGTGGAACCCTTAAAACGGTAGGTCTTGGGATCCAGGTATAAAGTTTCAGGGTTTGGGATCAAGCTGCAGGGTTAAGGGTTTGGGCGTCAGTGTTGAGGGTATCCTTTTTACAGGTACTCTTAAGGGCCTCTATAAAAATGTTTTGAAGGTTTAGTTATAGTTAGTTCAAAGCCACTCATTATTAGAACAGGCCGGACTTTTGGAGTATGTCATACTGTAAGACAATACTGACTCCTTCTACAACTTCTTCGACGATTGAAGTACTAGAAAGAGCCCAGAACACTCCAAGATGGCATTATTCACAGAGGATCCTGCATAACGCAGATCCTGATCACTGAAGAGGCCCGTTTCTTTAGGAATAGATTGGGAAGGCTGGCTCGTGGTGCCAGTGACACCGGTACGAGCCATGTGGAGTGCCGGTAAGCTTCCTTCGCCACCCAAGAATCGGACACCGGCGCGGACTCAGCTCCACGGGCATTCGCGATGGTGATGGTCAAACCCTACGGCTCCATGTATGTACCCTTATAGTATAAACTCAGGCCTTGAAGTACCTATATAGGGACCACTTTAAGGTTTAAGTACCTTTGGGAATGTGATGTCGTGATCAAGAACCGCAGCTGTCTGGCTTGTCTAGAGCTAAGACCTTGCAAGTTCTTGCTCCGGGAGAGAAAATCAGGCGTGGACCTTCAGCTTGCGGTGCTTTCGGGAAGATGAGCGTTAGCACGGTTTCCGGATAATGGTTCAGAGGTTTAAGGGTTCGGGGCTAAGGGGTTTAGGGTTTAGGGTATGGTTCAGGGGTTTAAGGGTTATGGGGTTAAGGGGTTTAGGGTCAAAATCTTCGAACTTCGAACCCAGAAGCTGTGCTGAGGGCGCCGCAGTAGGAATACCAATCGAGCGATAGGCGGAAGTCTGTGTGGGCGATCACAAGTTTTGCTGGAACCACCCCGTTGTGTAACCCAAAGGATCCTATGTACTGTTATGGGGGATACTTCCCTAAGTCATAATATTAATTCCTAATATGGAAACCCTACATTCTACTATATCGGTACATTGGACCCTTTGGGTAAGGCTGTACCCAAAACCCTAAACAGAGTCTGACTCGATGTTACAGCCATGATGTGGTCAACGCATCTTGTGAGCTGCACCCTTTAGAAATGAAAGCTGGATGGCTGTGATGCTATGGAGCGGAGATGACAAATACTTGGTTGAGCCAGCCCACGGCGCAAAAGCAGCACAAGTGCAATCAAACGAGCCTTCTTCCTTAGTTCAGCGTAAAGGGTAATGAAATTCTCGGTATGGCGTCGAACAGCCATAGTTGCTTGTGCTTGCACACATGTACGACCCATGATCACGAAATGGCTAAACCCTACACCCCCATTTCCGACCCTCTCAAAAGCCTTCTTAGCTACAGAGTAGAACCCCATTAGTAAACCAACTCTAAGGAAATGACATTACTAGTTCTTCTGGTTGAAGGTTCATGAAATACAGTGTCTGGTGTTGTCGGTGTCATCACGGTTCTCAAGTACGACGGCACAAACGATTAGGATGATCACGAAAAGAAGCTTTACTTTGCCTTTGTTGCCTCTGCTGCTGCTGCAGCTGCTGCTGCAGCTGGTGTTGTTGTAGGTTGTCTTGCTGTTGTGCAAAACACCGTAGCTCCTGACCCAAAAAACTGAACCCTATACCTTAAGCACTAAAACTTATAAATCCTAAACCTCGGGAGCTCTCGCCGTATATGTTGAACCCCAAAATCTCAAACCCTAAGCCACCCTAAGGCTCCATGTACCCACATAGTATATACTTAGGCCTCAAAGTACCTGTATGGGGACCCCTTTAAGGCCTAAGTAGCTAGAAAGGTATGGCAAAGGCAAGACAGTCACAGCATGTCACTCAGGCCCCAAGAGTCTCACCTCAACCGACTAAGAGCCCTAAACCCAAACTCAACACCGCTGCATGCGGGCCTGGGTTTAGGGATTCGGGCTTGGGGAGAACCCTGCCCACCCAACCGCACCAAAAACCCTAAACGCTAAACCTCTAATCACCACAGGCCAACCCTGACAGGGGCGGGGTGTCTGCAGCACCGCGTCCATGACATCTTGCAGCTTCTGCAGGTCCTGTCTTCCGAAAAAGAATCCCCACGGGTCCACTCATTAGGTTTTGTCGGTTTTAGAAGCTTTTAAAGGGTTTATACTGTAGGATCTTAATGCTGTAGGGCTGCATGTACCGAATCTAGGGTAAACATAAGCCTCAAAGGGTTCCCAGGAGTATGTACTGCACAGCATGCACTGCACAGGCACACCGACACTTGGGGAATGGCAACTTTCACAAGCCTATTGCGCGTGACTGGTTGGATTTATAGCCTAAGGGGTGTCAGAACACGAAACCCTGAATGACAACGCATTTCCAGAACCACTCGACGTCAGATCCTCCCCAAACACTTAGTCCCTCATTCTGTCCAGTGCAGAATCCATCTCAACATGAACTGACAGCTTCAAATCCTGATGTATCGTTCAGTGCTGAGGGTTCAAGGCTCTCGATGCTTGAACATTCTCTAGATGGCCAATGAAGAGAGAGAGAGAGAGAGAGAGAGAGAGAGATATATATATATATATACAGGTATATGTATATGTAAATGCCTGAGATCATGTATATGTAGACGTAGATGTGTATGTTTATGTGCATGTGCATGTATGTATGCATGTATGCATGCATGGGGCAGGCAGGTAGCTGGCGATACTTATTCAGCAGGGAGGTAGGTAGGTACAGGTAGGTGGCTGGCTAAATAGATACCTAGCTGCCAGCTGTGTGTGCGTGTGTGGCTGCACATCTCGAAAGAGATAGATCTTACATGTACTTCAATATAATAATGCACTTTCGGTATCAACGACGGAATTGTCAGCGGCATTGCTTTTGCACCTGTACCAAGAGCAGCAGTAACGGCAGCACCAGCGGCAGGCCGTAGCAGAAGTGGAATTGCTGGAGCTAGTAATTGGAGGTTCATGGCACTTAGTAACTAAGGATATAACGAAAGTAACTATACTTGTTATTAATAATGACCCCAGTTACTGGTAAGGTACTTCTAGAACTGTACTTACCAAGTTCCATGACCCTCGAAGAGGAGGAGAAGCACCTACACCCTAAACCCTAAACCCTAATCCCTAAGCCCTAAACCCTAATCCCTAAACCCTACACCCTAAATCCTGAACTCAAACAGCGGCTCTACAGCCCAGGCTCCTCTCGAAATGCGAAAGCAAGTATGGAATCATAGGGTTTAGGGTTTATAGGGTTTAGGGTCTACCGGTCTGATATTTGGAGTTTAAGGGTTTGGGCTTTAGGCAGTTATAATAGTTATATGCGTTGGGCAAAACCCGATGTGCGTAGATAAGTGGCTCGACCAATGGAGAAGTTTGTAGTTAGTTACTTGTTCAGACCATTTCTGTTGCCTCCTCCTCCAGCGCAGTCGTAATGGCCTGAGGATTGGAAAGGCATGTCAGAGATGTGTGTCTCACTGAGTACGAAACCTTGGCAAAACATTGCCAGAATACAGGCAGACTCGAAACCGCAAATCATCCGAAAACCCTAACCCCTAAACCCTAAACCCTAAGCCCTGAACTGACTCCGAAACCGTAACCCTTGAATCTTGAAGATGATTCCCCAGAGACTCCAATATCCCTTAATTAAGGAATATTCCTTAAATCGTATAAGGGATCCTACTATAATTTAAGGCATATTCCTTAATTAAGGGATATTGGAGTCTCTGGGTCCTACCCATAGGCCCCATAATAGTTCTAGTATTCCCTAGGGTTCCCTTTAAAGGCTTCCTTAAAGGGCCCTATAAGGGATCTATAGTAGGGTTCTAGTTAGGGGGTTCATAATTTACCCATAGGCCCCATAGTAGTTCCCTTTTGGGATTACCTCATAAGATTCTAAATGTGAAGCCCAAAAAGGAACTACTTTGGGGCCTTAGACCCTCCGCAAACACTATACGTACTACACTTGCGCGGAACCTTGAAGCCTAAACCCTACGCAGCCTGAACATCACTGAACTTCCAGCCCTAAACCTTAGGTACTGCACCCATATAGTAAAAGTCTGTAATAGGGCTACTATTAAGGTCCTAATATATCCATATTATGAATATTATTTAACTATTACTGAGTGGGCTTTAGATGCCCAGAGAACCCAATATCCCTTTAATTAAGGAATATAGCTTCAATCAAAATATGAAGCCCCTTCTAATTTAAGGTATATTCTTTAATTAAGGGGTATCCCTAAACCCTAAACCCTAAACCCTAAACCCTGCCGTACCCAACCTAAACCCCACGCCCTCAGCAGCCCGGAGGGCCGACTCGACTTCGTCGACCTCGAGGCTTCAAGCCTTGAAGCCTGAATCTCTTTTAGGGTTTAGGGTTTAGGGTTTTAGGGTTTAGGGTTTAGGGTTTAGGGTTTAGGGCCTCAAAAGGTACTTGGAAGGGCAGGGGATTTAGTAAGTAGGTTATAAGTAGAGTTATAAGTACCCTAAATGGAGTTATATACCCCGATTACAACCCTACTTATAAACGTCTTACTAAGTCCCGTGCCCCTCCAAGTAGGATGAAGGTAGGTGGGATATTCCCAAATAAGAGTCCTTATAGAAGGGATCCTTAACCCCGCCTACCTTCATCCCACCTTGTGAGGCCTCCGAGAATGACAAGAAATGGGCTAAATGATGGTGAGCCCTAGCAGGACCCGAATCCCCACTCCGCCACGCAGTAAATGTATCTCTACTTGGAGGGTCGGAGGACTTAGTAAGTAGGTAGTAGGTAGACTTATAAGTAACCTAAAAGGGACCCTAATTGGGGTACTTATAAGTCCCCCAAAATAACCAGTTACTAAGTCCCCCGACCCTCCAAGTAACCCTCAACCCTGAACCCTGAAACCGTGACCCCTCTACCCTACACCCCTAAACCCTTATAAACCCTAAGCCCGACCTTAACCCTGAAGGACCTACCTTTTCAAGGCCCTATATAAGGAAATCCATAGTGAAGAACCCTAAGAAGGTGGGTTGTTCAGGGTTAAGGGAAACCTTATCATTTAAAAACCCTAAGCCCGAAACCCCTAAACCCTAAACCCCTAAACCCCTAACCATTAAAGCCCGAAACCCTATAATTTCAAATTTCCGAGTGATGGGCTGCTTCGCAATGGACGGTATTTGGGCAGCCCAGGGAAGCAGCAGCCCGAAAACCCCTGAAACCCCCAACCCAAGACCTTTGTGCTTCTTTGATTCATACAGTGGACTTGAGGTTTAGGGCTTAACTAGGGTTTAGGGTAAGACTTAAGGTTTAGGGTTTAGGGTAAGAATATCATCGCGCAGCTGCTTTGAGGCTTCAATACTACACCCTAAACGTCAACCCCCCCCCCCCCCCCAGAAAAAAACAAAAAACAAAAACTTTAACGCCGGGTGTGCCTTGACCAACGGCAGCTGCTTGCTCAACTTGTTGAAGCGCGCCTGGAGGGTGCTGACCTGCCAAGGTGTAATACATGGGCCTGAATAATTAGGATAGGGTTTTGGGGTATACTATACTATACGCATAATAACTGACTCCCCCAATAAGCCACAGAAATAAAAGGCTAAACTGTGTTAGACTTTCAGATTCCTACTAGACTATAAGAACCCAATAAGTTTAAAGGTTGGGTATTGGGGATCTAAGATAAGGAACCCCACAATAGTACTGGCAAGAGCCAGAACAGGGTTTGCCTGGACCCTAAATTAAAGAACCTACTTTTTAGGGGCTCCCTATCATGCTTTCCATATATAAGTCCTTAAACAGGTAGGTTATTTGGGGTTAAGGTGGGCTTGGGGGAGGGCTATGTTGCATATATACTATAGGGCTGTGGCCATTCAGAGCTCTGTATCCGTGAATATTCATGTGCCCCACAGTATATATTTTGGCCCTACAGCACCTCTATACAAAAAAGGGCCGAATTTCAGGTCAAAGTGTATACAATTTGGGCATGAAGGGTGTTACTAATGTTTAAAGACTTCTTGAGCCCAGAGCCACGGCTTAGAGGCGAGACAGGAGTGCGGCTTGTACTGGGCTCTGTGGGATTGAACCCCTGCAGAAGGCCTTGACTTCTGTGTTCCGTCCAGGACTCATATAGGGTTCCTGTAAAGGGATCTAGAAGGGGTCCTTTAAAGGGATCTATAGGGTTTAGGCTTCTAAGGACTCATATGGGCGGTTGTCAAAATTAGGGCCCCTTTTTAGGTCCCTAAGACAGTACGGCACCTTATACTTAGGGTACCCCAAAAGGAACCATAATTTTGACAACCGCTCATATTGTAGTTCAGCAACGTATAGCCTAGTCAAGTCTAGGCTAAGCCAGTCTAGTATACACAACTTCAGGAACAAGTATTCTACACTGGGTGCCTCGACAGGATATGGTACGAGTACGAGGTTACAATAGCTCGAAAGCTATCGGAATCTCCAAAAAAAGATCCATCGCAGCAACATGCACTGCAAAGAACGCCCATAATCCCACAAGAGGATGCTTTGAATATCTGGGGCCTTCATATCTAGCAACCAAGAATCTGAATCTGATCGTGGAAGCCAAGCTATGAGTGTCAGTACCCATGAACGAGCAAAAGCTGCTCACGTAAATTCCCAAGACCCCCAAAACCAAAATCCCGAACCCTAAAACCTCAACCCTCAACCCTATAAACCTCTAAACCCTAAACCCTAAACCCTCAACCCGTAAACCCCTAAACCCTCAACCCTAAATCCTCAACCCTAAACCTAGACCCCAAACGCTCAACCCTTAACGCGTACCTCTGGGAGGCTCTGTAGCTCGAGATCCTTTGCCCGAACCACAGCCTTAGTAAGGTTTATATAGGGTTTAATTAGGGCTTATGAAACTGCTTAGGGTTTAGGGGTTTAGGGTTTAAAGTTTAGGGGTTACAGGACCCCCCCCCCCTCAAAAACACACAAAAACACTGATAGGGTTTCTTGAGGCACCTTGGTAAACCCCCGCCCAAACCCTAATCTCGACGAGCTCCAAACCCTGACCATGGGCGGCGGAGATTGGGTTTGAGAGTTGGCGTCTTACCAGCACCCCCTAACTACCCTCTACAGGGTTTAGGGTTCAGGGTTTAGGGTCTATTATACCCTAAATCCCCACTATTAAGGACCATAAGCTGCTTAGGGTTTACGGAAGTCTCTCAAGCATGGGGACGAGAGGCATAGCCACTGCACTTCCGAAGAGAAACTGAAATCTCCGTGTCTGAGCTTCAGAGCCTGGGTTTTAGGTTTTAGGGTTTAGGGTGTCTGAGCTTCAGAGCCGATTCAATCTCGATGGGGTCGATGCTCTTTGCGAGGCCCTGGCCGGAGGTTCAGGTGCTGACTGTGGATATAGTAAACCCCACAAAGTTGGAACGTAGATTTAGGATGATTCATGCTGGGATTCCATATACTTTACTTCAAGGGAATAAGACTATATACTGTTGGGACGAAGCAGTGTTATGGGATTTAAAGAGGGCATCTGTACAGGAAAGGTTGGCCATTAGTTTAAGAGCAGAAATAGTTTAAGAGCAGTCTAGTCCGCCATCTCATCAAGTACAGTTTAGTGCAGTGACTAGACAGGGTTCGCATTGCGAAAAATGAGAGGCTCCTGTCAAACCAGATTTGTGCCACAGTCTATGACTTGGCCCAGCACTTCGCCATGTTTCTATCAGAACATGCGACCACAATCCTAGAATGCTGGAATGCATTGCAATTCTGTGGTTCTGTGAAGGTGTTCTGGTGCCCACAGCTTCCTCTAAAATCTATATAGAACAAGGATAGCCTCCTTTGGAAGTACAAGATACCTCCGTGCAGGTGCGCACGAAGAAACAGGCGCGCACACACAGATAGATAGATAGATAGATAGATAGATAGATAGATAGATAGATAGATAGATAGATAGATAGATAGATAGATATATATATATATATATATACAGTATACACATGCCGTATACATGCATGACCACAAGTTGGATGACAAAGCAAACCGCGCTCTCTACACTGCCGACCTCGGTACCCCCCCTTCCCCCCCACGAAATCATGACCTGACGGTGTAGTGGCCCCTACTGATGCACAGCTCCTGCAAGACTTCATACACCAGTCTGAACAGTGAACATAGGAGCGTGTCTGAGTATGTCACAGTAAACTTACAATCTTAAGCGCTAAACCTTACAAGGGGCCCCCACCCTGTAATAGTGGTACAATAGGAATATAATAGGGCCCTCATATAATCCCTATAGTCACTCCCTAAGGCTCCATGTACCTTTATAGTAGATACTTAGGCCTTAAAGTACCTATATAGGGACCCCTTTAAGGCCAAAGTAACTACTATAAAGGTACATGGAGCCTTTGGGACTATTACAGGGTGGGAGCAGCTTCTAAGCTGAACCCCAAACTTGAACTGGGGGCTTTGGGAAGATCAATCTAGGGTTCCTTTAAAAGGGGTCTATAAGGGCTCCTAAAAAGGGATCTATAGGGTTTAGGGATTAGGGGGGGTTTTAGGAGAAGGGGGGGCCTTGAGAAGATCAATCTCCTTGGCTTCATTCTCCATGCGCTGCTTCACCTCCCAGAAACCCCCTGGTTATCCTTAATAGAGCTCTTTACCCAAAGGCCCAAAAGTAGCTCTTTTTTGGAGTTCATATGTAGAATCCTATAAGGTAATCCACAAAAGGAACTACTTTGGGGCCTCTGGGTAGAGCTTTAGGGCTCAGGGTCTAGAATTTAGGTACAATAGACGAATAGAGGGTTGTCGGGGGTCTTGGCCTCATTGCTTGTCAATCTTACTTACGCAGCAACATTCCTTGTTTCATAGTGCTAGGCCATTGATTCCTGCTTTGAGGCGTAGCCTTGTTTGAGGGGTATGGGGCTCTGCGGGCGCGCATGCCATTGGAGGTTAGGTCTTGAAGGCTTCCTTGCGGGTTGTTGGGTTTAGTTTTGGGAGCTTAGGAGTTTATGGCTTGGGTGCTTAGGGTTTGTGGCTTTGGGGTTGAGACCGATGCCATCCGAAGCTGCTTGGAGGCTGTAGGCGCACGTACGCCTATGCAGAACTAGGTTGGCTACAGGCACTATTAACAACTCGGGCTACAAAGCGCCTATACTCAGGCACAGCTAGCTATCAGGGCCATATTCGGAGAAGCCGGCATGCAGGTATATATGCATACATGCATGCATGCATGTATGCAAGTATGTATGTATCACGTGGGTTTGTATATACCTATGTATACAGACATATACTACATGAGCACAGAACGTACGCTGGGCACAAAGTCCCAAATCTCTTCCAGAGACTCCAACATCCCTATGCCGTCTCATATCCCCAAACTTATCATACAGGTCGTTAACGGGGGGTCAACAAATCTTGGCACAGCTGGTAAGACTCAAAACTGAAAAAAACCTTGCCTCAAAGAATCTGCTTGTACCCTAAACCCTAAACCCTAACCCCTAAACCCTAAACCCATAAACCCTAAACCCTAAACCTCTAAACCCTAAACCCTGAACCCCAAACCCCTAAACCCCTAAAACCTAAACCTTGAAAACCTCTCAGACTCTGAACACTGCCCGTCTCTGATCCCTTTGCGGGCTCTCTGCTGCTGGCCCGCCTTTTCCACCTCCTTCCGCCGAGGCAGTGGGAGTGGCAGGCCAACCGCCTTCAAATCTACCATTTAGGGTTTAGGGGTTTAGGGGTTTAGGGTTTAGGGGTTTAGGGGTTAGGGTTTAGTAGGGTTTAGGGTTTAGGGGTTTAGGGGTTTAGGGGTTTAGGGTTTACGGGTACTATGGGGTTCTATAATAGGGGTTCTATAATTAATAGGGGACTATAATAGGGCTCTATAATAGGGTACTATAAGGTTCTTTTATAAAGCTCCATAATAAGGTACTATCGGGTTCTATCATAGGGTTCTTTAATAGGGTACTATTGGGTTCTATCATACGGTTCTATAGTAGGGTACTACAGGGTTCTATCATAGGGTTCTATAATAGGGTACTATATATAGATAGGGTTCTATCATAGGGTTCTATAATAGGGTACTATAGGGTTCTATTATAGGGTTCTATAATAGGGTACCATAGGGTTCTATCATAGTCTTCCTTTTGAGGGCTCCTGTAAGGGCATGGGGTTTAGGGTCTATGGACCTCCAACCATAACCTACTTGGCAGGGTTCCTATGAAGGACCACTCGTCCGTTTGTATGTAAATTATAGGTGCATCTGTCTCTCACTCTCCGTCTCTCTGTCCCTCCGTCTCTGTCTCTCTCTCTCTCTCTGTCTCTGTCTCTCTCTCTCTCTCTCTCTTTCGTCCCTCTCTCTCTCTCTCTCTTTCTTCCCTCTCTCTCTCTCTCCCTGTCCCTCTCTTTCTCCCTTATATATATATATATGTAGAGCTTTTACCGACATATCATTTGGCCCAAAGACAGAGAACTCCCTACCCCTCACACCATCACGGTCCAACATAGTCTGAAAAGACCTCAAAGGAGGCAAAACCTTATCTTCAAACTTGCTACAAAGGGATGCTGTTTGGCTTGAGGCAATCATTGTCATTTGATACCTGGTCTGCTAAAGAAGCACTTTTGGCTTGAAACTTCAAAGGCCTTGGCCGTTGAATCGTACTGGAGTATTGCGGTTGCGCAATTCGACAGCAGGCTGCTGGATTGCACTCTGTTGTACGAACCTGACTTCTTATTCCTAAACTCAAAAACTACAGGGTCGCGAATTGATTTGATGATCAGGTTCCTACATCTTCCTGCTGTCGCCAGACAGGAAGGCTCAATCTCTTCGGTTGTCCGAGCGCGCAAGCACAAGGCCTTGCTGGTAAATGGCCAAACACACAGTACTCGGCGAACTTGTGATGACTCTGCATGGCCGCCTCTGGCTGGACCTCCATGTTGTCCTGGGCGACACTAGCCTTGCCGGTCTCTGGCAAGAAGCCCTCCTTGTCCAAGAAGTCACGGATGCGCGGGATTGAGTCAGGTCGCCCCCATCGACAAATAGCTCGCAGCAAAGCCTCTTCGACAGGCTACATGTGGGTCATTGTCAAAATTTTGCTATTTTTTGGAACCCTAAATATTAGGTGCCGTATTAAAATGGGGACCCAAAAAGGGACCCTAATTTTGACAACCACCCATGTACTTGGGCCTGGAAGGGTTCCGATTTAAGGTACTGTACTTAGAGGGGCAGGGGACTTAGTAAGTAGGTTATCAGTAGAGTTATAAGTACCCTAAATCGAGTTACCCCAATTATAACCCGACGTATAAACGACTTACTAAGTCCCCTGCCCTCCAAGTAGGGTCAACGAACATATTATTCTGTAGGCTTAGGCACTTGCATCCTTCGGGCCGAGTTAACAGTTTGTACGTAGAACCCGAAGCCCCTATAGATCCCTTACCCTAAGGGTCCATGTACCCATATAGAGATACATGGGCCCCAATGTACCTATATAGGGACTACATTAAGGTCAATGCATATACTATATGAGTACATGGACCCTTAGGGTTATAGAACCCTTTGAGGATCCCTTATAGAACCCTTTAAGGAACTCTTTGCACAGGGTTCGACTATGAGGCTCCAGGCTCAGGCACCCACAATGCACCTCCCAAACCTACCGGGCTTGCGAGATACCGGTTTAGGGTTTAGGGTTTAGGGTTTAGGGTTTAGGGTTCCCAAAATCCTAGCCCATGGTCCTTTGACGCTTGAACCGGAAACCATTAACCCTCAAGCCTGAACGCATCATCCGGTAAAAAAGGCCCTCAACCCTAAGCCCCGAAATCTAAGCCATAGCGATGCCTTCTTGAAGATCTCATCGACTTTCGCAGCCTGCTCTGAGGTGTCTCCAGGGCAAGGGGGAGGATATCTTTCACTAAACTTATGGCTCCTCTGAAGGTCCTTCAACGTGCAGGGTTTAGGATTTCAAGGTTTAAGTCTTCAGGGCTTCGGAGTTTTGGGATGTAGGTTGCCTGGCTTGTGCTTCGGGGTTAAGCCTTATGGTGCTGTTTCGGAGCTCACAAGCCCAGACTAAAACTTAAGCTGAAGCGACCCCCTCCGGAACTCTACATAAGCTAGGCAATGATAAGGTGTGCTTGAACAGCAGCATAACTTGGCTGAATTCTGAAACCCTCCCAAAGAGTTCAACTTTTAGCCTCCTTTTTGGCCTCCTTATTATGATACTTCATATAGAACCCTCCCCAAAAGTTAAAGTCCTAAGAGCCAACTAGAAAAACGCCAAGATAAGTGATCACCCTTGGCACTCAACATTCGTTAAGGAAGCTCTATCTGGAGCAACCAAGGCTCCTTAAACACAAAGAAAGACATGGAGATGTGCCTCTTCGGGGGCTCCCTTTCTAGCCAGTCCAGGCAAACGTCTAAGCCATAAGATACTGTAAGGCTTGGAGTTGAACATAAGGGCTTGCGAATCAGAACAGGGTCCTGTCTGCATGGCCTAGTCATATAAGACAGCAAATTGGGACGTCAAGAAGAGTTTTTAGGGTCAAGGGTATTGGGCTTATTAGGGTTCCTAAACCCTAAGCCCTGAACTGCGTAAACCCTCGAAGCCCTGAGCCTAAACCCTAAATCCCCGTCTGCAACCGCCCCTTAAGACCCTTTGTAGAAACCTGTGCAGTAGCCCCCTATAGCTGTAGAACCGCAAAAGATAAACTCTATACGAAACCCCAAACCCTACCATCAATAAGGGCTCTCGTCCACGGCCTCTTTGAGGATGGCGGAAGAGTCTTTCAGCTTCTGGACCGCCGTACTGCGTCGCTTTAGCCGATGCAATATACAGGCTTTAGGGCTTGGGGCTTTCAACCCCATGGTCTAGGATTTGGGGTTTAGGGTTTAGGGTTTAGGGTCTAGGATTTGGGGTTTAGGGTTTAGGGTTTAGGGTCTAGGATTTGGGGTTTAGGGTTTAGGGTTTAGGGTCTAGGATTTGGGGTGGTGATCATGTATCATACTGCAGCTACATCAAGCCAGAAACATCTTCAGAGCCTGCCGAATCGAATCATCCTAACAAGTAAACCTCCTTGGCTCAAAAAAAGTTGGCGTCAATGCTTTTAGGGTTTTGGTCAGAGTTCCGGGTTTAAAGCTTAGCGTCTAGGGGCTTCCAGTTTAGAAAGAATTCTACATGAATCAAATCATGAAGACGACTCCGTGATTGTCTGTGCTGCTTGTGGCCCAGATTCTAACACGTAGGGTTTCACTGTTTAAGTTGTGGATTTTTCCACTTCCTGCATCCCCAAACCCTACAAAATAGTAGGTTATGACCCCTTAATTAGAGGGTCGAACCCTTAAAACGGTAGGTTTTTGGATCCACAGGTTAAGCTTATGGGTTTCGTGTTTTCGGGCGCCAGGTTCGCGGGTCGAAAGCCGAAACCCTAGGCCAAGGTGCCCGCAGAAGCGAGGAGGAGCCCCTGAGCTCTTGAACTGTGCACCACCCCAAATATAGGGTTTAGTGTTTAGGGTTTAGGGTTTAGGGTTTAGTGTTTAGGGTTTAGGGTTTAGTGTTTAGGGTTTAGGGTTTAGGGTTCAGGGTTTAGGGTCGAGGGTTTGGGGTCTAGGGTTTGTGCTGCTACTTTTTATGTGCATGCACGTTGCCGGATGCTAATCTGGGCTAGGGCTTGGGGTTAAGTGTTCCAGATACTCGTCTGGACCTACCTGTGACCCCAAACCCTACAGAATAGTAGGTTATTACCCTTGAATTATGGATCCACAGGTAGACCTAAGAGTAACCTAGGAAGCAAAAGGGTGCCCCTTTTTTGGTTTAAGGGGGGAGTTATAAGGGAACCTGAGCCCCAACAAAAGGGGAACCAGGGATTACTCTGGGTCCTAGACCCTGTGGCTCTCTTGGACCTATAGACGAACAATAATATGCGGCCTTGACAAAAATAGAATAAGACTTCCAAAACGGTTCTAAAAAAAGTGACGAACCCTCACAGTCCCTCACCCTAAAGCTCCATGTACCTACACAGTATATACTCAGGCGTTCAAGTACCTCTTCAGGAACCCCTTTTAAGGCCGAAGCATATTTTGTGGACTCTGTGGGTACATGTGCAGTGTTAGCGTCAGGGAACACGATGTCATGTCCTGCCCGGCTTGGTGTAGAAGTCGTTTCTCGCGCACCAGGCTTTCAACTCATCGAAAACCTCGGCGCGAGCGGGCGTGAGGAAGGTTGCTGGTGATCTACTTGGAGGGTCATGGGATTTGGCAAGTAAGGTTAAGAAAATCAAAGTCTAGTCGCCATCGCTTTCAACTTTCATTACTAAGTCTCAGGTTAATTTCAGTACTGATGCTTCGCATGAACCGGCTTTGGGCCGTTGAGGTTTCATTTTGGCCTCTAGAGACGGTAGCATCTTTAATATTACGCAAAAAAAGTATCGTATAATTGGACGGTTTGGGGTTTGGGGCGTTGGGGGTTTAGGGTCTGCACGTTCTCAAATATCTCTGTTGACCAGTCTACTTGTTTCACTGTGCTATAGTGCCAACATGGCTGGCACTAAGACAACATGGCTGATAAATGTGCGGGCAGCGCTAGATATACACATCACTTCGGTACCCTATATGTAGTCGTGTTCATGCCTGCTTCCATCTACAACTGACGGACATATAAGCTCAGAATTGTCAGAGACAGCCACATGGATAGATGGATGGATAAACACACAGATGAAACATACACTTGAAGCGAATAGATCGAGGCATCTTCCCAAGCGAGATATACATATGTGGACACTGCATAGAAGCATGCACGCGAATTAGAAACAATCAGAGGGATCCTCAGATACTCCGAATACGGTATGTATTACCTTAGACCCCAAACTAGCTGCCGTCTCTATACTCGGAGCACTCGCGAATGAACAAAATGCCGCCATCTGTGCATCTACTCTTAGAGCCCTAGAGGCGGGTAATCTCAGAATAGGTGAGACGCACCACAACACCCGGTGAAGTAAACTCTCAACCTCTAATCCCCTAAAGCCCAACCCCTACAGGGAACTCCAGAAAGTTGGAATATGGTTTCATGGTAGGATACCCTAGAATTTACCATAGAAGGCTTAGGATAATCATATTCCAACTTTCTGGCTTTTACCTTAAACCCAAGCAACCAGCAGAAGACGGCACGAGAACCGGTGGCTGGGCTACCGGCCACCTTGCACGTTGCGAGCTTCTTTCGCGCCCTGCGGCTTAAGGATTTACGGGATGATTCGTGGGGTTCCCCAAGGATTTTCTTATTTATCAGCTTCATAGATGGCAGAATAGAGTTTCCAGTATTCGGGCTTTCAGGGATTGATCGGCTTCAAGAAGTTTTCTGATTCTGATTCTCGGGTTTGCGGTGCCAGGGTTTGTGGGTTGAAGCTCCTGCTTCAGAACCTGCAGACAGGACAACCAAACATTCATGACCAAACCAATGCATCTTCTGATTTGGGGTGTGCCGCGAACCTTACTTGTGGCTCTACTTACGCTCATCGGAAAACCTAGCTATTCATATCAAGGAGTTACTACAGACATACTCTGCTGTCGGACTACGGATTGGGGCTACAGGCAGGTCTTTATAGGACACCTTGCATGAACATGAGCATCGTGCTTCGTTGAGATAAAGCGCTGTGACCCAGAGCATAGATTCGCGTCAAGCACCACAGCCTGCAAACCTACACCATCGTCACTGATTCCCAGAACCCTGAAACCCCTCAGCCCTACACAGTAAGCCCTATTAACCCTGAACCCGAAATCCTACTTCAAGGATCATTGGACTTAGTAACTAGGGTTATAAACAGGGTAACCGTACTTTTAGTTACTTATAACCCCTGTTTAGGTACTTAGAAGCTTACTTACTAAGTCCGATGATCCTCCAAGTATAATGCATCATCATCTTCAATGTAGGAACCTGATTAAGAAACCTTGGGCCGTTGTTAGGGTTCCTTACATGAATCCTACTGTTTTGGGGTTACAAGACCATGGTTTCTTAATTCTGTTCCTACATTACATGTAATCTCCAAAGTCGTAAGCCCGCTTAGAACGAAGTTGCCACATCCGCCTGTGCCCACGCCAGACACGCTGGATGTCGATGGCATACCTAGGCCCAAACACAGGCTCCATGTACTTTTATGGTAGGCACTTAAGTCCTTAAGGGGTCCCTATACGGGTTCCTTTAAGAGTTCCTTTGAAGGGTTCTATAGGGTTTAGGGTGGAAGGGTCCATGGTACCTAAACTTAAGCCTTAAAGGGGTCCCTATCTCTCTCTCTCTCTCTATATATATATATATATATATATATATATATATATATATGATCCCGGTTCTCGGTTCACCCCCCCCCCCCCCCCCCCAATTATATCACCCCCCCCCACGCTCCCCAAGCCGAATCTGTGTGTGTGTGTGTGTGTGTGACTGTGCAAGCTTTTTCCACACGAGGGTTCACACGCCAAGCAGACCCACACAGGAAACCCAAACCACACCACACCACAGGGGGGAGTGGGGTAACCCACTCCCGAACCACACCACACCACAGGGAGGGGGAAGCAACCCACAACCACACCACACCACAGCAGACCCACGCAGGAAACCCCAAACCACACCACACCACAGGGGGGAGTGGCGTAACCAGCCTAAGCAGACCCACTCCCGAACCACACCACACCACAGGGAGGGGGAAGCAACCCACAACCACACCACACCACAGCAGACCCACGCAGGAAACCCAAACCACACCACACCACAGGGGGGAGTGGCGTAACCAGCCTAAGCAGACCCACTCCGGAACCACACCACACCACACCACACCACAGGGAGGGGGAAGCAACCCACAACCACGCCACACCACAGCAGACCCACGCAGGAAACCCAAACCACACCACACCACAGGGGGGAGTGGGGTAACCAGCCTAAGCAGACCCACTCCCGAACCACACCACACCACACCACAGGCAGAGGCAAGCAACCCACAACCACACCACAACCCATTGCGGGGAGTAGGAACCGTTGAGGGGGGAGGGGGGGGGGGCCGGCCGAACCGGGATCATATATATATATATATATATATATATACGTATATGTATATATATATATATATATATATATATATATATATATAGAGAGAGAGAGGTACTTTAAGGCCTAAGTACATACTATACGGGTACGTGGAGCCTTTGGGAGAGTCCCATGACTGTCAAGCTTAGCTTAGACTCTAGAATGCAATGCATGTTTGGATAAGCCATTATTAGGTTATGATTCTGCTGATTCCATAAGAAGACAGTGCGGTAACAACAAAAGCATGACATTTCAGGGGTCCAGGCAGGGAAATTGAATCCCAAGCCTCGAACACCTGATCCTGGTATGAGGGCATGAGTAATCAGCAATACAAGTAGCATCTCTCAATTAAAACAATTATTGTAATTACAAAGCGATCGGCCTGAAACCCAGTGCAAAATTGCAGGCCTATTGAATACAACCCTGCAGAAACCCGAGATGCCCACGTGGAGACGGCCATGTCCCTTGCTTTGTCCAGCCGGACCATAACCGCTTGCTTCGCGAAAATCTTGGTCTTCCCAAGGACCTGCTGCAGACTTCCAAGCGGATGGGATAGAGTTGTCCGTCCTGGGCGGTTTAGGATTCATAGAGTTTAGGCCTTACCCTCGGGCTTCAAATAACCCAAAGCAGGTACTGTTTGTAGACTTCAGACGAACAAGTGCTGTCAGTCTTTCTGGGTGGATCCCCGAGGCTCTGGCCAAGTCGCCGATGGGCACACCGCCAAGCGGTTCCAGCGCTTCGGGCAAGGCCTCGCCATCTTTCAAGCTTCGGGCTCCTTAAGGAGGTCTATAAGAGCTTCAAAGGGTTACTTAATGGTGCTACAGGGGTACTCGGAGGATCATGGGACTTAGTAAGCAAGGCTATAACTACCTTAGCTGGTGCAACAGTCAATGATTCTGCAATAAGTAGGGTCTATATAGAGTCTATTTAGGATAAGATACAGGATCTGGCATGATTCTATGCCGGTACCATCGGGGTTTAGGGTGCAAGGTTCAGGCTGTTGGGCCTTGGGGTTTCACCTATTGTTGTAGACTCCGGGCTTATACGGTTGTTTAGCGGTAACCCCTGATATAGTGACCTTGATAGTAAGACCCCCCCAAAAAAAAAATGTTTATGTAATTATTCAGGCCTCCGTACAAAACTCTAAACCCAAGGCTTTGACCACTGTACCCTAAACCCTAAGCCTTATAAACCCTAAACCTTATATACCCTAAACCCAGAGGCTTTTGGGGTTTCGTAGGGGTTTAGAGCTGCTAATGTCTGTCGTGATGTCGGTCGACAGGTCCCTCGGCTGAAGAGCTCGACGATTTAACATACCAGAATGCTATACTATAGTATACTAGAATAGACGATAGTATACTATAATATACTAGATTATATTACATTATGCTGTGGTATACTATAGTATAGACAGTATAGATTATACAATATTATACTCTAGTATCCTGTAGTCTAACATGGCCCGCTATAGCATACTACAATATATAATCATCTGCTCTTGTACACTAAAATGCACCCTACTACTTAGAGGTTCATGGGACTTAGTAAGTACAGTTATAAGTACCCTAATTGGGGTTATAAGTAAATATAAGTGTAGTTACCTTAACTATAACCCTAGTTACTAAGTCCCATGAACCTCTTAGTAGGGACGGTCTCCAGGGACTTTAACACTCCGAAATGCAGAAACATACCCTAAAGAATACAGGGATCTCTAATCTTATAGTATCCTTAAGGGAGGGTGGTTCAAGGGGGGAGGGTATAAGGAATCCTTAGGGGACTGTAAGGGAACCTATACCCCCTTTGGACCCCCCTCCCTTAAGGATACTACAATAATCTGACCGGCTTGAAGTATATTCCACGGTTTAGGGTTTAGGGTTTAGGAACCCTAAACCCCTAAACCCCTGAATCAAAGGGTTTTGGAGTCTCTGTTTCTATCCCGCATCATCGCACAATGGGGAATCGAGCTACTGGGATTTGGGGGCTTTGGGCATGTAGAGTGCATTTCAACGACTCCGACTTTGGGTATTTGGGGCTCAGCATTTTGCCTGGAATGAAAGAAAGCAATAACCAAGATTCCAATGAGAACTTTTTCGTTGAATCTTGAACCCCTCTAGAAACCCTAACCATCCAATTAGATAGTGTATGTAGTGACCTTAGAGTCAACAGCCTAGAATAGGGTTTTGGGGCTTATTATACTACATTTATAATAAGGACCCCCTCAAAAAAAAAGACATTGGTTTTTGTTTAGGCCCTTATCCTAAACTCTCGTCCCTGTAGATCACTTATAGATTCCTTAAAGAATCCTTGAGGATCCCTTCAACCGGTGACGGCCTCGATGAAGGCTTTTGCCTTGTCTGGCTCCGACGCTGCCGAGAAGATGGCCTTGTGCTTGGCCTGGCGCTAAGGGCTTCTATAAGTGTTTAGGGTAGGGTTTAGGGTTCTATAAGGGTTTAGGGTTTAGGGGTGTAGGGTTTAGGGGTTTAGTGTTTAGGGGTGGGTTGAGGGTCCCTTCAAGGCTTCCATGAAGGGCTCTAGCAAGGCATCTGAAGGTTCAGGGTGTAACGCAGGGGCCTTAATAAGTAGCACACCCTCCGAAGACCAGAGAAGTCGAATAAAGCATTGAAGAACCACACACAAAATCTCACAAACTCGTACAGAACCCAATGTTATACCATGAACGCCATGCCCTAACTATCGAATCCCTGCAATGGCTCCGAGCCTTCGGCACGACGATCCGGTACCGGCCAAGGAAATCCTGGGCTAATGCTTATAGGGCTTCGTGGAGACAAGGTTCGCAGTTATTGTGGTTAAAAACCGTTCCAACGAATTGTGGGATGGGTTTACTTAGAAGTACATACAAAGAGTCTCGACATACTACCATTATGGAATGAGGCCCTAAAATAGACCGTCCCCAGCAGGGTTTTAGGGACCTGGTTCCATAGTGGTCGTATATATGGACAGGTTTAGGGTTTAGGGTTTTGGGTACTGTAGGAACCCGACTCAGAAACCCTGGGCCTATAACCCCCAAATAGTAGGATTCATAAAAGGTAAGGAACACTAGCAAGGCCAAAGGTTTCTTACTCAGATTCCTACATTGTAATAGTTCCCTTATAAGATCCATTATAGTAACCCCTATAGACCCCTCTAAAGGAACCCTAGTAAACCTCCAAGGAAGCTATGGGCTTTAATGACGATTGTCAGATTTGTGGGCTCAGCGTTGAAGCTATGGTTGCAGGGTGTGGATGCTGTCAGCTTGGTCCAAGACTGGTGTCAGAAGATTTTGGAAGGCCGAAGGCCTGGCTCATAAAGGATAAGGTTTGATGTGGTTTGCGGTGTTTTCGCATCCGAGATGAAAGTTTACTGAAACCAACCTGCATACTACCGGGGTCGGAATACTTAGGAATACCATTCCCTTGTAGTAACTATATTATTATAGTCCCTCTAGATGGGTGGTTGTCAAAATTAGGTCCCTTGTTGGGTCCTTAGTTTAATACGGCACCGAATATTTAGGGTACCCAAAAAGGGAGCTGACAACCACTCAAATATGCTAGAACAAACCCCGAAAGCCCGATTCTGCCTACTGAGCTCCTATGTCGGCCGCCGTCCGTGTGCATGGGACTTAGTAACTACGGTTATAATTAAGATAACTATACTTATGTTATAACCCCTGTTAAGGTACTTATAACTGTAGTTACGAAGTCCCATAAACCTCCAAGTAGCCACCGATGGAAACCAAGAACCTGCCTCTGAAGACCTGTTCGCGGATTTTCGCGTTTCAGACAATAGGGGACCTTACTATGATGTGGACAACCCTAACGCGAAAACCACGCCCTAACAAGTAGGATCCCTGTCATCATCGTTATACGGGCTCGAAAAGGTAAACTAGGGTAGCACTCTTGTCTCAAATCCGACTTTACCATCAAGTACGTTTCCCAAAGGCTCCATGTACCTTTACAGTATATCCTTGGGCCTTACAGTAGTCCCTATATAGGTACTTTAAGGCCTAAGTATATAATTACTATATGGGTACATGGAGCCTTAAACCCTCTTAAATGGACACTTAAAGGAACCCATCAAAGGACCCCTTAAAGGAACCCGACCATATGGGTTATGTTGGGTTTACATAGGGACTAGACTATCCAAACAATGTTAAAGGTTGCCTACTCTACTACTAGGTCATTATATATGATAGCAAAAACCTGATGTACAATTTAAGGCGTCTTTCACTGGCTCTGCTTTCTGAAGATCCCAAGTTGTATGCTGTACCCCAACTGCAAGCCACCCCTTTCATACCCAGGCTCATGAATTCGTACATCCTGCAGCTCTTCCCGCATTTTCATATAAGCCCTGTAAGCCCTTATGGTAGCCTTATAGAGCCCGTACATACAGACCATTGGCGAATGGCGAACCCTCATGCCACTGCTATATTAACCTTCTAATGCCCTTTGGAGAGTAATACTACGGTTGATGATATAAACCCTGCATTACCTTAAGGACCCTAAACTATGGGAATTATGGTGAATTCCTATTATGGGTCATGCAGGATTTATATCATCAACCGTAGGAGACCCCAGACCCCAAATCCGACGACAAGCTGCCGCAAAGGGCACGCGCGCTGCGAAACCCGACTGACGAATGCGGACAGCCTCGCCGGGGTATGTGCGGATTTTCGTGTTGAGGTTGCAAGGCTTGGGAGTTCCCTGAACCCTACAACCAAAGGGAAGTTTCCGACAATTAGGGGGTGCCTTATTTCGGGGTCCTTCCGAAAAAGGATCTTACTATTTAGTGTACTGTATTAGGGTCCCCTATTTTCGGAAACTCCCAAATAAACCCTAAACTGCAAACCATATACCGCTGGCCCAAACCCGAACCCCGCGCGGAGAGTTCGGGTTTCGGTTCTGTGCTTGTCGGGCTTCAGGAATATAACGGGGTGGAAGGCATAATGAGCCTCTGGGGTGGAAACGCTCAAGGTCGAAAATGCCCTGAGTGCGGGATCTTGCACTCAATCAAGACTTCACATGGTCACTTGTTGGGGGTGTTGTCATGAGAAACTGCTTCAAGCACGAGGTGGGTGCCGGAAAACTAAACACTTTGAGCCCCAAACGGGCCACAATTCCTGCACATTCCTGCACCCAGGCAGGGTTTCTGGTTGGTAGATAGTATATACCTTTCCGTAGGAACCCCTTGAAGGCTAATGTATATGACTATATAATATAGGTAGACCCTATAAAGCCCTGAGCAAACCCTGTCAAAAGCTACATGAACATGCAGCAACTCGGGTTGTAATGCCTTTTGACAGTGACACCCTGAGTGGCATCCCAAAACCCTACTACCTGACACCCCAAACCCTACCAGGTAGTAGTCTATGACCTCATAATTACAGGAATATAACCCTTGCAACAATAGGTTTTCGGGTTTTCGGATCCACAGGTAGAACTTACATTCACAATTTCCATAAACTCTGTACGCACTGGACTCCATTAAACCCAATTAAATCTATGAAGCCCTATAAGACCCATAAGACCTATACACCCCATAAAAACCTGTAAACCCTACAAGCACTATAGACCCTAAAAAGCCATTTTGAGCCCAAGAAACCTTGGAAATCTTACCAGCCCTGTGAACCCCAGAAACCCTACAAAGCCGCATGAACTTGGCATGAAACCTATAAGCCCGCCTCCATGTACCTATGGATAGTTGTCAAAATTAGGGTCCCTTCTTGGGTCCATATTAGAATACGGCACCTAATGTTTAGGGCTTAGGGTACCCCAAAAAGGGACCCTAATTTGACAACTACCCCTGTGTAATATACACTTAGGAAAGATCTTAGCCGCCCTTAGAACCAGAACATAACTCACGGTTTAGGGTTTAGGGGTTAGGGGTTTAGGGTTTAGGGGTTTAGGGGTTTAGGGTTTAGGGTAATAGTGCTTTTATTCATCCTCTTGAGATGTACTATTACTATAAGAGCTATGAACATAGTTGTTGTAAGAGCAGCAAATAAAAGGCCTCCTATATGGGTGCTTTATGGCCCAAGTGCATGCTACAAAAGGTACAGTGAGCCTTAGTCTCTGAAGCCTCTTAGACAGGCTGCCTTAGAGACTGCAATATTTCTTCACAAGACGGTTGGGGTTCAGGGATTAGGGTTTAGTTTAGGGTTTAGGGGTTTAGGGTTTAGTTTAGGGCTTAGGTGTTTAGGGTTTAGTTTAGGGTTTAGCGGTTTAGGGATTAGACTTTAGTTTAGGGTTTAGGGGTGAAGGGTTGAGTTTAGGTTTTAGAATCACCAGGAACTTGGGAATAAAGAGACCTCTCCTTCTTTGGTATGGGGCAGTCTTGCAAGCAGCCTAAGAACGCACACAGGGGAAAAGCGCCTACTGGGTAGCCAAGGAGAAACACGGGCTCCCAGCTCCTTAGCAAGGATCCCTACCACAACTGAAGGATAAGGATCCTTGCCATAGTTAACCTAAAACCTAAACCTTAAAGGAAGATTCCTTCCCCAGACGCAATGATTTTTGGGTTCTAAAACCCCCACCATTTGGGTGCTCGGATCCCTTGCCTAGACTCCCCTCACTACCGTCGATTATACAGCAAATACCCACTGTTAACGACTACAAGGGCTCTATTAAAGGGCGCTTGGGAAGTTTAGTCAGAGGGAGTTTCCAAAAATAGGGGATCCTAATATCGTACCCTAAATAGTAGGATCCTTATTATCAGGACCCCAAAATAAGGTACCCCCAAATTTCGGAAACCCCCAGAAGCTCAAGTCTTTGGCACCGAAATCGTAAGCTGCTCGTAGCTCCCAACATGGGTTTCGGGTTTAGGGGTTTTAAGGTTTATAGGGTTTAGGGGTTTCGGGTTTTGGGGTTTTAAGGTTTAGGGGTTTAGGGTTTAGGGGTTTTAAGGTTTAGGGTTTAGTTTAGGGGTTTAGGGTATAGGGGTTGCAAGAGCGACCCTGTTGCGCTTCGACGTCTTCTTCCCCTTTCTACTGAGCAAATGTCATCGAATCTGCCTACGTGTCGCTGTGTGAAATCAATCTGCCGACTGCGCCCAGAACATCAGTTAACCATAAGGATCCAGAAGAAGTTGCAGTTGATCCTGCACAGTGCTACTGTCGTCACCATGCGCAGCCTCACCCCACCCTCAGATCACCACGGATCCATGGCCCAGCCTGGCAGGAAAGACGCTGTATGAGGTTTAGGTCTTGTGCGCGCTCTTCATCAGGACCAGGATCAGGATCAGGAAGTCGCAAGAAACGAGCACCAAGAAGTTTCGGCTTGTTGCTCAAATGATTCTGCACAGAGCTACCGTCGCCACCATGTGCAGCATCACCCCAGGTCACGATGGACCCGTCGGCAAGAACGGCAGCAAAAGCGGCATTGGTGCTTTGGATCTGCCGTACATTCTTCAGTTGATACTGCAGAGCACGACTGTCACCACCATGGGAAGCAAAACCCCATGTCACGACGGATTCGTCACCGAGAATAGCAGCAAAAGCGGTGACATAGATGCCAGAAGTTTGGATCTGCTGCACATTTTTCAGACTGGACCGAAGAACTGTGCTGTCACCACCATGCAATGCATCACCCCAGGTTACGACGGATCCATCACCAAGAATGGCGGCAAAAGCACGGCGAGAGGCTCGGATTTGCTGCACATTCTTCAGCTGGTCCTGAACAGCCCTACTGTCCCCGCCGTAGTCATCATCGCCCCATGTCACGACAGATCCGTCGCCACGGATAGCAGCAAAAGCATAGTCAGAGGCTTGGATGTTGCGAACATTATGAAGCCGAAGCTGCACAACCCTGCTGTCGCCGCCATAGAAAGAACAGCCCCAGGTGACGACAGACCCACTGCCAAGAATTACAGCAAAAGCAGAGCCATTCGCTTGGATCTGCTTGACATTCTGCAACTGCTGCTGCACACCACTGCTGTCACCGCCAGCATTAACATGACCCCACGTCACGACGGAACCACCGCCAAGAATGGCAGCGAACGCACCGGAAGATGCTTGGATCTGCTGCACATTATTCAGCTGATCCTTCACAGCAGAACTGTTACCACCATGGGAAGCCTTACCCCAGGTTACGACGGATCCATCGCAAATAACAGCAGCGAAAGCAAAGCCAGTGGCTTGAATCTGCTGCACATTCTGCAAAGCATCCCGCACACAACTGCTGTCACCGCCAGCTTTAACATGACCCCATGCAACGGCGCAGCCACCGCCAAGAATGGCAGCGAATGCACCGGAAGACGCTTGGATCTGCTGCACATTCTTCAGCTTGTGTTGCACGGCAGTGCTGTCTCCACCATGGAGAAAATCACCCCAGGTCACGACAGATCCATTGCTGAGGATGGCAGCAAAAGCGTGGTCATTTGCCTGGATCTGCTGCACATTCTGTAGCTGAGCACGCACGGTCCTACTGCTGTCACCCCCACGGCTAGCATCGCCCCAGCTCACGACAGATCCATCGCCAAGAATTGCAGCAAAAGCACCGCTGGAGGCTTGAAGTTGAGGTTCTCCTGCATGCAACATCAGTGAGTCACCATCCTGCAACTTGCTATCTTTGATCAAGGAAGATGCTTCCAGAATGCTTCCAGACGAATCCATCAGCCGCCCTTTTCCTACTCCAAGTTCAGTCCGTGCACGATCTTGTAGCGTTTGCACCTGTTCCTCCCAGGCTGCTTGCACCGTAGCAGTCTTGCCACTGAGCAGACCAATTTGCACACAAATCGACATACTGCACAGCAGCAAAAAGCTAGGAACACGATTCCAGGTCTGGGTCGGAGGACCTAGAGCATCTTCTCTGGTGGAACAAGACAAAGTAAAATGGCTAAGTCCGTACCGCACACCCTCAACACTACACCCCAAACCAAGTGGCTGGGTCGGCCCTCGGAATGTCAGAACATGAGCAAGAGGGTTTAGGGTTTAGGGTTTAGGGTTTAGGATTTAGGGTTTAGGGTTTAGGGTTGCTGCGACTTATTTCGGCGCGTGCCATTCCGGCTAGATGCACACCCTTTGTACACTCTGTCGTAGCTTATACACGTATTTCCACTGCAAAGATGGTAATAGTATACTGCTGCTACTACTACTACTACTACTACTACTACTACTACTACTACTACCACTAGTACTACTAGTATTAATCATCATCATCATCATCGTCACCACCATCATCATCATCATCATCCTTTAAGGGCGTTGGCTTCAGGTTATGTGGGCGCTTTGTGTTTTTCAGGCTTTAAAGGCTACCGATTCAAAATGTATGTTGAACTTTCCCTAAGGCCCCATGTACCCATATAGTATATACTCAGGTTTGAGAGTACCTATATAGGGACCCCTTTACGGCCTAAGTAGCTCCTATATGGGTACATGGAGCCTTAGGGTTTCTCTACTTTTACCCACATTGCAGTGCTCATATCCCCAAGTGCAAGTGCATGGTTTGGTCAACTTGAGGCTGCAGTTCGCAAATGCCCCCAGACCCCCGGAAAGATCGGTTTAGGGTTTAGGGTTTAGAACTCCCAGAAAACGCCTGTTTCTACCTGCGTATTGGTCGGATGGCTTTCCAAAGTTCGTTGTTTTAGATCCTCCAATTGGTCCGGGGCAGTGCAATGGTCATGGCTGCCTGCTGATGTGCGAACTTCCAAGCTGTATGCTTCAGTGAATCCTGACTGGAGCCCTCTCCGCTTTTCAAGCACCGGGCTTGGAAACGATGAAGTGGAAACGCACAACTGTTCACTGCAAAACAGAAATAGCGAAAACTACTTGCGGTAAACATGTGCTGGTTATGCTTTTCGGAAACACCGTTGGCTAACAGGTGCTTCTATTAGACACCCTCACACTGGGTTGGAATTGAAACGTCCTTGCGTGTTTAGTTACTGCATGCCAGACGGCTGACAAACATGGTCCCGGTTCAGTTCAAACCCGAAAGCCTACACAATCCCTTTTGTCTGGAATACTCTTCCTTCTGTTTCGCTCCTGCGACGACTGCTACCGCTCTTCATAAACCCTAAACCCTAAACCACAAACCTATATCCTAAAGCTCAGCTATGGGAACCAGCAGCATCCTGTTGGAGACTGGTAGAACCCCGTGCCCTTTTCAGGGCCCTCCCGGGGTGTATTATGTTATGACTCCAATAAGGAACACCAAAAGAGAAATCGTAATGATCTGGGCCATAAATTATGCCGATTGACCGCTAACTTGTTCCACCCTCAAACCCACCGATGCCGGCACCCTTTGGATCCCTGATTGAGTTTCAGGGTGCTTACTTTCCCTGGAGTCAGATTGGGCTAGACCTCAGAGTAACCTAGGAATAAAAAGGGTCCTTTTTCATTTAAGGGGTGTTGTAAGGGAACCTAAACCCTACAAAAGAGAATAAGGGCCTACTCTGGGTCCTTGTCACTGCTGCTGAAGGTAACGGCTCCCCACCTCAAACACGCCGCTGCAAGTCAACTGTTCCATGACGAGCTTGGACGTGAACTTGTCCGGCACCTTACCGGAGAGCTTAATACCTTTGGAAGGATGAAATGTTGAGTCAAAGCTTTCTACTTGGAACACCTACACACGCAAGTTGTAGGTGTTCCCATGAAGCTGGTGTTGATACAAGCGCCATCGGCCATTATCATCATCACTATGACCGTCATCATCGTCGTTAGCAGCAGCAGCAGCAGCAGCAGCAGCAGCAGCAGCGGCAGCAGCACCGCTAGAATTGAATAACAGCCCAAGCTTCACCATCAGCATCAGCACCACCAAACGAAGTTAATCACTGCCAAAAAAAATCCGGTATCCCACCATCACGTTCGTCAAAGCTTTTTAAACATCACCAACACAGTCATAATCTTCGGCAGTCGCAGCACCACCACCATCACAACTACATTGATCATCATAACCAGCGTAAGCACCATCTGCATTCGATCATCACTTCAGCATCTTCTTCATCACCATCACCAACATCATCATCCTCAATGCAAGTGCCACCAACACCACCATGACACCATCAACACAAACATCACCACAATCAGGTCACCACCGCAGTCTCATTGCTGGCGAGATCATTATCTTCACAATACTTTCATCAAGTGCTAGCACGGCTTGCGCCTAGTTATCCATCGTCAACCCTAAAGCCTTCAACCCTGAACCACTCTAGGTTCAGCAGGCTTGGGTAATCTCCGGAGGTGCTTTACCCGTGATGTGCACACATGACACTCCCAAAGGCTCTATGCACTTGTAGAGAAGATATTTATGCCTCAAAGGGGTCCCTATATAGGTAGTTTAAGGCCCAGAAATATACTATGTGGGCACATGGAGCCTTAAGGACTGTAACCTTCAACGATGCGCTCAACGTTGTAGGGTTCATGATGTTACGAGTCGAGTTGGCGGCTTAGTAAATCGAGAGCCGAGTCCCTGGTTTAGTTACGCTATGCTGTAGAGGTGTAGGGATGTAGGGTTTGGGGGTTCAGGGTTTAGGACCTCATGTCTAAATAGAAGCATACAAATATCGCATATCCTAGCAGCACTTGTGTTGCAAAACCTTGCTTGTCAATCGGGCTCTTATAAGAGAACATGGGCAACCAACAGTCGATACCACGATGCGAGGTTTAGGCACCCTCACGAAACCCACGACATCGTATCTTAAATCGCGCGAACCAGTTGACAGCATACTGGGCCTTCTCCGCGTTTGGTTTGACGCATCGGATGAAGTGTGGATCCGCCTCGTTCAGCTTCTGCACCTAGGCTTTGGTGAACTTGTTTTGGCTTTGACGGTTTAGGAGTTTAGGATTTTGGTTGTGTACTGTCTTGTGACATCGTGTACCGTCTACATTGTCTGTGTGACGGCGTGTATAAAGTCCGTAATTATGCTTTGCTGGGGCTTGTTACTCGGTAGGGTGACTACACTTGACTGTTCAGAGGATTTGCCGATCTTCCAGAATACCTTCGCGAGGAGTACCGACGAGGTGCACAGGTGGGGATCGGCACACTGCGCTCGAGAGCACTTCCCTTTTCATCCCCTTTCCATCTGATATGCTTCCCCCGGGTTTTGCATCGTCTCTGCTAACATGTTTCTTGGCATAGTAGACGGATATGGGGTTTGGGTTTACAATTTCCGTATTCTAGTAAGGAGGCCTAGGGACAAAATAATCAGTAACTATTCAGGCTTCAAACCTAAACCCTAAACCCTAAACCCTTTCAAGGAACCCTTTAAAGGAAACCCTATAGATTCCTTTAAAGGAACCCTGGGCGGGTGGTTTTTTAATCCCTATATTAGGAGCCCTAGAGCCTGAACCTTGTGCCTACCTACCTTCCACGGCTGAGGCCATGGGCCCCTACGGTTGATGATATAGATCCTGCATTACCTGAAGGACCCTAAACTATGGGAATTATGGTATATGCCTTACCTGGTTGATGATATAAACCCCTGCATTACATTAAGGACCCTAGACTATGGAAATTATGGTCTAGTCCATATTATGGGTAATGCAGGATTTATATCGTCAACCGCAGTATGGGCCCTCAGCCCTGGAATCCTTATATTAGATAGCTATTATATAACCTTTACAGACTCATATTAGGGGCCCAATACATACTTCTGACCTTAGATACTATAGGGGCCTTAAGAATGAGAATAGGGTTTGGGGCACATTATGCTATAACTATAATAAGGAAACCACAAAATTACCTTATATAGGTAGTTCTTAATGCCCCTATATCCTAAACCGTAATCCCTATAGACCCCTTGAAAATCCCTTAAAGGAGCCCTTGACGATCCCTATAGATACCTTAAAGGAAACCTTAAGGATCCCTATGGGTACCTTAAAGGATCCCTCAGAGGATCCTATAGATCCCTTGAAGGAACCCTTAAGGATCCCTATGGATACCTTGTAAAGGATCCCTGAAAGGATCCCTATAGATCCCTTAAAGGAACCGTTAAGGATCCCTATAGATCCCTTATAAGGAACCCTTAAGGATCCCGATAGACCCCTTATAAGGAACCCTTAAAGATCCCGAAGCCTTAAGGATCCCAAAAGATACTTTCATCCTCTCCCCCAAGGGTCCAAAGGACCCAATAATCAGGTACTCGGTTTTGGGATAGTAGTTATGTAGCTTAGGATTTGGGGGGGTATATGATTATTAGGTACTCGGACCCTTAGGGCCTTAAGGCCCTAGATCCTAAACCCCAAACCCTCCAGATCCCTTGAAGGAACCCTTAAGGATCCCTATAGATCCCTTGAAGGACCCCTTAAGGATCCCAAGAGATACCTTCATCCCCTCCTTCTGAAGTCCTCTTGGAGGAACATGGGACTTAGTAAGTACAGTTATAAGTACCTTAACTGGGGTTATAACCAATTATAAGTAGAGTTACCTTGTCTATAAACATAGTTACTAAGTCCCATGAACCTCTAAGTAGACCCTAAACCCTAAACCCTTAAAGGGAGCCCTATTATAGAACCCTATAGTACCCTTAAAGGACCATTGGGACCATAGTTACTAAGTCCCATGAACCTCTAAGCTCCACCGCAGAGGGCGGCGCAAGCTGCGCAAGGGAGCTTCGGAAGCCGGAGCTGACGGTCTTCGCCTGCAAGGGTAGCGTTTTAGGGTTCCTTTGAAGGGATCTGCAAGGGTTCCTTTAAAGGGCACTCTAGGGTTTAGGGTTTAGGGGTTTAGGGTTTAAGGGTTTAAGGGTTTAGGGTTTAGGGGTTTAGGGCATAGGGGTTTAGGGTTTTGGGGTTTAGGGTATTTGGGGGTCTTATATACACGCCTGAAAAAACTTAGAATAGGGTTTGGGGGGCCCATTATGCGATAACTGTAATAAGGAACCACCCAATAGTATTGGTAATTTTTTCGGCCCCTATAGTTTTGCTGCACGTTGCGTCTGAGGCCGCGACCTGTCGACTGAAGGCAAGAGAAACCGTTTTAGGTTAGATTAATTGATGCAACAAGGAAAACTAATATGGCGGAATACTATTGAAGTCGTGGAACTGAGGTATCCATGTAGTGCCGTTGCTGCTATTGTCTAACGCCCTTTGAAGGAAAATGTAAAGCTGGTGGTGGACATGATGGCACTTCATGGACCCGAAGAAACCACTCAAAGTTGTCATACCGAATGCCGCTGCATTTCTGACATGAGTCACAGGAAGCACCTTAACGCGACCCTTACAAATTCTCAAGAAGTAAGACCGAAACCGGGAAACTAAGATACGAGCAGTCATGCCCGGAGACAAGAACCCTGGAAAGAAACCGTAGATGGCAAGAAACTCGATGAGAACTTGAAGCCACGATGTGCGTGGTCCTTGGGACCTGTTGCTAAAGGACCAAATGGGCTCACCTATGAAGCTGGCAAGAGCTTGGGCAGCCGCCAAGGGAATGGGTCTTTTACAAGTGCGAACAGGGACAACACTAAGCCCTTGCCAACCGGAGAAAAGGATACCTTCAGGCTGAAGGCTCGTGAGGAAACTCAAATATCTTCGACGCAGGAGCTCGAAAAGAGCTTCTGGTGGCAACACATGAGACTTATAGGATTGAAGTATTCTACTTTCAACATCACCAACAATGACCGTATGCCCAAGTAAGTGACATGATTTGTAGCAAATCCTGGGGCTCTTGGTGACTAAGCGACGTCGGGGTTTGCAGGTACAAACAAAGGTTTGGATCAAGCCAGCTGGTGGTTTGTCGTCTTCATCAAAAGGTGCCAGCTGGCAAGCATTGGTACGATTGACGAGACACGCAATAAGATGCGCCTGGACGGCAACCGCCCTCTCGAGATAAGGCTGAAATTTGACTACGAGTTTGGAGGATAAAGCTTTGGCCGTTGCCTTGGCCAGAGCATCAACCTCTTCATTCCCGGCTGTGAGCACTGGGCACTGACCAGTGTGTCCGTTGGTATGAGCTTTGACTTTGACAAACTGAATCTTCCCGTCGTGTTTCCTAGCTACATCTAAAAACATCTCCCACAGGTCAGGGTTTTCGAACTGAAAAGTACAGTCCCACAAGAAGTTATGACTTTGTAGAAACTTTGCACGACGGAGAACACTAGCGCAGTCAGTTGCAATAACAACATCACCCGCTGTCAAGTGTATTGCCAAGATCAAAGCGAAAAGCTCACAGCGAAAGGAATTCACAGACGCTCCCTGCACAGCTACCGAGTGTTTGAAGAGTCCTGGAACGGTAACGGCGGAAGCACCTGCACGTATAGGAACCCACCGCTGATTGAAGACGCTACCGTCCACAAACACCTCAGAATGTGGGCGCCAGCGCTCTTCAACCGGAGGTAGCTTCCAGGTTTCGCGCGTCGACCAAAGATGTTGACGGAACTCCGGAGGCTCGAAGAAAATCCCCGTGACCCAAGATAATAGCGGTTCATCACCTTGGGGAGGGCGATGCTCTTGCACTGCTTCGCAATCGCAAAACATATGGCGGTGTGACTCCTCCTGACCACAATGTGGGCATGAGTTGTTGTGCTTTAAACCTGCAGCAGCAAAGCGGAATCCATTGTAAATAGATCCGGACAAGAGTGCTGACAGGATTCCACGTGTGTACTGGATGTTGCGAGGAAGTGCTTCGATATGCCCACGAAGGAAACGGAAATCGTCGTTTGCGGCGAACGTTGTATCGAGTAAAAAGCGTGTCAAGAAAACATCTGGTGTTCCATATTGGCCTGGTGTCGGGTTGCCATACCTGCAAGGAGACTGGTTGACCAAGTATGTCCTGATGTCCCGCGCCATTTCTTCCAAGAAGGCCTCTTTAGACCCATCTTTGAAAGAAATGACGCGCTGGTCTGCGAGTGAGATCGTAAGGTTGCTGGCATCATAGACTTTCCAACCGGCTTCAGCGAAAAGAAAGGCTACAACGCCCACAATGCCATTGCTAGTCCGCTTGTTTTGGGTATTAGACTGCACCTTTTCCAGTATGACCCGTACTAGCTCAGGTTTGAGATAAGCTAACCTGCGTAGCTTCAACATGACATGCTGAAGCCATTTGGCAAAAGGGTCCAGCCACGGGTCTTGCAAAGTAGCAAACAGCAAAAACGGACACCGCATATTGTTGCGCTTCTTAACAAAAACCTTTGCCGTAGCAGTTCGCAGTCGAGCTAACGCATGCTTGGAGGGCCCTTGAACCTCCGAGCCATAAACCCACTTAGAATGACCATTCGCGTGAACATGAACAGTTTTCATCTCGGGGGGCAAAGGAAGCTGCGAAATTTTAGCCATGCAGGCCCGAGCCTTTGCGACTCTTTCGTCTTGCAGTTTAGGGGAGCATCGCTTATCGAACTGATGGGAAAATCCTAGAGACCTGACCCGCTTCTGAACTTTACAGGCTCGGCCAACTTTGAGCAGGAATCGTGTGGCAGTCTTCTTCCTACGAGTTGCTACTATGGTTTTCTCTTCATTAAGGACCTGGCCTACACCTACGTCAAACTCGTTAATTGCCGTGAACGCATCGGAAAGCGCATGAACCTCATTTGTATTTGTCCAAATCTTGGTGTCATCAAGGAAAGTACTAAAGTTGATGGATGGACACATGTTGCTCATGTGTGAAGAAAGGACGGCATACATAGAGTTGACCATCAGAACCGACATGGAACAACCCTGTACAGCAGAGTTCGTGCACATAACCCGCTTACCATAAAAACCACCAAGTTTAAATAATTTGTATTGTTCCTTGTAAAAGCCCAAAGTTGCTCGGACAATTTGCGCAGGGAGGCCTAGCTTACCAGCGACGTTTAAAGCAACGTGCGGGAGGATCAAATCGAAACATTTCCATCTGTCGAGGAAGACTGCTATGAGGTCGAAATGGGAATTGGGATCATGTAGAGCCAAAGAAAGGTCAAGTTCGCTGGTATCCGCCGCTCTATTGGCAAGACCTCCTAAAAGATTGCTTGGGCAAATTTGGTTCATCCATGTTGCAAGCTGTTTGAAGCGCAGGGATGACCATGTAGAATAAACAGCGGATGATACACCTATAGCCCTAGTATCTTCAGGTGAAGTAACAATGGTTTTTTTGGCAATGTTGGTGACGGATATCATCTTAAGGACTCGAGGCCAGTTACCAGTGGCTTCAGCTATTTGCATGCACAGGCAAAAACCTAACCAACCACAAGGTGGTAACTGCAACAGCTCCCGCGTAGACCATCCATCTAAACCGGAAGCCTTATCAGGAGAACGCTTCTGAAACAAATTAAACAAGTCCTCATGCCGGAGCCTTGGTAAATCTACAGGGCGTTTGAGGTGATCAAGGATGTGACCGTACTTTTGTTGGAATTTGTCAAAGGCTTCGTAGGGATCAACCTCAGAATGGTAGTTGTATATCTTCTGCATGTGATCCTCAATCATGCGGAGCATTGCATTAGGAGATGCTATAAAAGTACCATCATCGGTTTTGAAGGACTTGGGAGGCCCATTACCGTAACCTTTAAGCCATCGGTGTACCTCTTTCTTGTCGCTTCTAGATGAGACCTGTAATTTGACCTTCCAACGGCGAACATGTTCAGTTTTGTGTTGGCGGACAAGGTTAGCTTCGAACAAGTTCAGGTAGGACAGCATCTCGTTAGCTGAGGATTGCAATGAGTCACTATTTTGGGGGTTGATGCTGCATGGAAGTTGTAGCTGGGAACATAGGGTACGTAGGTTACGAATGGTATTGAAGAGATCTTCAAACCAGCAGTATTTGGGTTGGTCGGGCCAATGACTCGCACGAAACATCAGCTCCCTAAGCAATGACTTGCTACGTGAAATTTTATGGGCTTTGGAGAAACGACAGGGCGCAGTAACATCAGGAACTAAGGGCTTTTGCCGGAACTGAGGTACGCTACCGCGCGTGAACGGGATGCTCTGTTGGGAAACAACATTCAACCTCTCAGTGGCTATGCGACAAGCGATAATCCACGTCATTTCTGAATCTTGGGAGGCCGCTGCTTCCAATAAAGCTGGGGTATGTTGCTGTAAGATGGGCATGCAGCTAGATTCTCTTTGAGCCCACTGTGCGCTACCAGTAGGTTTATCAGGAAGAACCCAACAAGGGTGAGGCTTCAAAACCCAAACAGGCTCATTCAAAACTTCATCACACAGTGTACAGAGAATAGGTGTGTGACCGGGAAAGGAACAACCCCTAAAGTATTTAATGGAATGAAAAAGACAAGTAGCCTTAGAGTTAGCAAGAACATAATCAATGCGTGTCTTGCCGGGGCCAATCCGGTAGCCGGTTTTCCACCCTGATTTCGCAAAGGAGGCTTCAATAGGTAATTGTAGTAAGTTTTGTTGGTTCTCATACAAGTCAACCCATTCCCCAGTTAAGAAGGCAGACTGAATGGAAGGGTGCGCAGCAGGCTCATCTTGAAAATCCCCAACAATGAACACAGGAAAGTTACTATGCGAACCTGCAAGCTCAAGGATCCGAGATAAGAGTATTGATCGTTCGTGTCTCTTGTCACTTCCTGCTGGGAGGTAGCAGTTGATGGCATAAAACCCTCCGCTTTGGGAAGAGCACCAGAGCAGCTGGCAATGTGTCACCAAAGATTGCCATTCGGCAGAGATGGGAATTTCAATAACAGTAACCCCACCACGGTACAAAGTTGCAATGCCGCCTTGGGGTTGACGTGAGGCGAATGTTAAGGATTTGAGGCGTTTCATCGGGGGTTGATATCCGATACAAATGTCCCATCCCTCTTGGCGAAGAAAAGGAACGAAATCTGCGCGGTCCTTCGCTGATAGCCGAGTTTCTTGCACGAAAACTATCTGAACGGAGTCAGACTGACGCGAAGACAAAGCAACTAAATCGTTCCTATGTTTACTAGCCGATGTAGCGTTGATAGTAACGAAACCGAGTTTAGGTCCTTCACCGGGGTATCCAAGGCAAGGAGAAAAGATGTCGGGCATCCAGAATGGGTTTGAAAGACGTTTCCAGATTCTAAGCGGCAAATGGTATGACAAGGATTCCGAAAACCCAAGGCTTATGCACCCTGGGGGAAAATGCATGGAGGAACTCAAAAGCATTCCAACGCTATTCAATCGGCAAACCTCGAGGCTACGGTAGTTGTCGAGCCGAGGATGGCCATGACTCCCACGTGCATGGCAGATGTTGGCAAGCCATCCCTCCGAACTAAAATGAATTAGGGAAGCAAGTGTGGCTGCGCAGAATTTAAGCTTGGCTTTCGCAAGCATACGAGCGCGTCTTCGTTTAGTAAATCGCGACAGCGGCAGATAACATCGACCCCTGAACCATCCTATGCCAGGGCGGAAACGCCACCACCTAACTAAGATCCCTTTGGGAGCGAGGTAGCACGACAGTAGTGGATGAAGACCTGAGATGATCATAATAGGGGGAAATAGGGCTGAAGCGAATAAACTAAACGCCATGGCAACACAAAGCCGGCTGATCATCACCACAATCCTCTTTGTACAAGATTGGCGCTGACAAGGGCACATGTACTCACAGATCCACAATGTGGCAAGGATAACGCCCGAAATCGAAAACTCACAGACTGAAGGACGTACCGAGTTCAGACTTTCTGATGCTTTGGGGCTGGAGTTGCTCGTGGAGGAGGTGTGTGCACTGGAGCCGCATCCGACGGAGCACTGGCTGAAGGAATGCCAGCTCGTATCTCGGATATGGCTTGCATGAGATCTTTGAAACCACGATCTTGATTCTTGGAAATCTCCGTGAGTTGTTGTTTGGTGTCAATGTTGTCCTTCTTCAGGCCATCCACATCTGAAATCAAGGTTTGAACCTGGGTTTCCAATGCTTCAACTCTTCCGGCATAAGGGTTCGGCAGGAGTGGGGCAGCAGGCCTTGGCAAGCTCAAGGGGGAAACGAGTGCCGAAGTCTGCGTCGCGTAAAGGTCCTTCCCAGTCCCTTTGCGGTGCCCTTTCGGAAGAGGTGCAACTGGTGCGATCATGCTATTCTCCTTGCGGTTGAAAGTGCGTCTGTCCAGTTCTACGATCTGAATCACTCCAACCGAAGTCTGAAAGCGGAAACTCGATGGGGCCTGCGGCGCTGAAATGAACACAATCGCAAGATCTCGGAGATTTACTATCCTGGAGGGAATGGCGACGAAACCGAGGACCTGGAGCGTCTTCACCACCTCTTTCATGGAGGTTCCAGCCGGGAAGCCGAATATTTTGTACTGGTAAATGCACTTGGCTGCGATGTTAAACGGAGTGAACCTCTCATCATCGGCGAAGATGACTTCACGAGCCGTCTGAATAGAATCATCCCGTACCCGAAAATAAAGAGCACTCTGCGACTTGAAACACCCTAGACCACCATGAATTGCCTGAAACCGTGACGCTGCATCAACAAGAGAGTCCTGAGACGGTATCTTCATGACCTCCAACCCTGTTTCAGGAACATCGTCAGGTTTACGCACTGCACGAAACTGGACAGACTTGAAACCTGATTGCGCGTAGATGGCATCTCGGTGAACTGTAGGGATCTGCATGCGTCTGCAAAGATAACCCTCCCGCTGAAAGAACTTGTAGAGCACTGCACTGGACAAATCAGAGTGGTGCTCCAGAATTTGGCAAACGTAGCTGTGAAAGGCTTCAACGTCACCGAAGGTGGCCCAATCCTCCTCTGTTGCATCGCACTGGCGAATCTCTGCGAAGACCGCTACCCTTTGAATGTGGGATACCTCCACTGCGGATTCCGACTCCGGAATGGTAAAGAAATCATCACTGTCCCTAGCCAAATTGACTAGTGTTGCTGCTCGCATTTCTTCGCATCCTTGAATGACGTCTTTGACTGTGATGGTTGTCGAAATGATCCGTGTATCCTCAACAGCTAGTCGCATGACTTTTGGCTTAACATACCCCGCAAGAACGACCAAGCACGCCCCATTGGTTCTGATGTTGGAGATCTTCTCGAAGGTTGCAAACGTTGCGAATGTGATTCCGGATGCTGAAGGGTGAAGCTGCTGCACTGGAAATGTTTCAGAAGAAACCTGGTCTACTGAAAGTGGTTGCTG